CCGCCGCGCGTCCACTCCCATCCCCCACCCGAGCCCGCGTCTCGGGTTCGACTTTGCCCGGGAGTCACTATGAGACCCTGCGGGGACTCGTTTCAGGTCATCTGAACTCCCACCCCATGTGCAGCTCGGGATGGGAGGGGGCTGCAGCCCCGAGGGAAGAGGACCCGTGTGGGCCGGGCCCCTGGGAGTTTGCCCGTCCCAGCTGTGGCCTCCTTGCAGGTGCCCTGGCCTGAATGGTTCTGACCTATCCCTTGGTCCTGGCCAAAAGCCCTTTTGGTCCCAGGCCACCTGGGGCCCAGCCACCTCCCTGATCCCTGCTAGAAGCCTGGGACTGAGCTTGTCACCGTTGATCTTAGGAGAGACCAAGCCTAAACCAAGGGACTTCTGACCCAGGGGTGAGGAAACGGAGCAGGGCTTCCATACCCAGTGGAGGTGACAGCGGGCTTTGGCGGCATGGCACCCTGCTCACTGGTTTTCCCAGGCGCCTCCATAGCCAGGTGTTAGGAAGGGGTGTGTCCGGCTGCCAGATGGTGGAGCTAACTACAAGCTCCCTTCCCTGCCTGCTGTGTAGACCAGGGAACTGAGGCCCACAGGGGCTGTCCCACTCCAGGCCACTGGTGGAGGAAAGCTACTAGCTTCCACCCAGGTTTGCAGAGCTAGCCTGCTGTGGGTAGAGGAACACCAGGCAGGCACTGTCACCTACCAGAGACACAGGCCCCAGGCGGGCTCAGGGGGAACTTTGGGTGAGCACGTGCTCCCTTGCAGAGGGCTAGAGAGGAGAGAGAGCTTCCGGCTGTTCTGCCTAGGTCCTGGCTTAGGCAGCATTTGCATTGCCCATGAGACTTCCCCGGGGTGCCTGAGGCTCAATCCTTCTGGTGGGGCACATGGTGAATGGTGAGCATCTGTGTGGTGTGTTGAGGAGCCTGCCCTGGCTCCTGGCACTGAGGTTGGTCCTGACCTGTCCCTCCTCAGCCTGGCACAGGAGCTAGGCAAGTGTGGAACAAGAGTGAGATGAGGACGGGCAAGGTGGGAGCCCCATCTCCCCTGGAAGCACCATGCAGCCTCAGCAGGAAAGTGTCAAAAGACTGGGGACACCATGGGGCCCATCTCCGCTCCCTGTCCCCTGGGTGTCCCATTGTCTGTCTTGGTATGACCACAGCAGGAAGGTGCAGAGGCAGCAGAACGGAGGTTGGTGGTACAGCCAGAGCTTCAGGCTCCCTAGAGGCTGTGAGCCATTTCTGGGCCCCTTGGAGCTGCCTGTGGTTCTGTCCTGCTCAGGCCCCATCCCTAGCATGTACAGTGCAGGTGCCCAGATGTCCAGGGCCTGGGAGGCTCCAGCACACAGCCCCATCCCCAGCCCTAACCTCTGTTCCAGCCAGAGAGGCTGGGGCTGCGGCTGGGGCTGGGCCCTGACTTTGGTAGGTGCTTCTTCACCAACAGTGAGCTGCAGGGATATGGCCCAGGGTCCCCCAGCCTCTGGCTAGCACTGTACAGGGTGTGTTTTTAACTTGGGGAGGTTTTTACCTTCCTGCTTCTTAGAAGTGGTTGCTTCTCTCTCTGCCTTGGGCCAAGGGCAAGAAAAGAGGTGAAGCCGATTCCTATTCCCTGCATCATTAAAGGAGTACTGGGTTCCAAGAGGCTGAGCCACATGGGATGACTCAGAACAAATGTTGGTGAAGGGGTGGAGTACAGCCTCCCCCAAACCAATATAGGCAGGGGCCCCGGATCCACTCACTGCTCTCCCCAAACCCCATATGGTCTGATGAGGCAGGACTGCCTTGGGTCCAGTTCAAGCTCCATCTTTGGGGTTTTTTGTTTGTTTTGAGATAGAGTCTCACTGTGTGGTCTAGGCTGGCCTTGAACTTGTGGCAATCCTCCTGCCTCAGCCTCTTGAATCCTGGGATTATAGGCATGAGCCACCACACTGGATTTAAGGGGTCCATTCGTGGAGGGATTTCAAAGCCTTGACAGTAACCCTCAAAGAACAGCAGTGTAGGTGTTGAACTTAAGAAAGAAAGGAGGAAAAGGGGAAAAAATGAGAGCAAAGACCACCTGTCATGTAAAGGTGCAAGATCCCAATAATGATTGTAACTGTACTGTATACCTAAAATGTACCAATACACTCAATAAAAGAAAAAAAAAAGAAAGATAGGAGGGACAGATCCTCGTGTGTGAGGGGCTATCCCACGGCAGAAACATCCTAGACCTCTGCGCCAGAGGTGGGAGCTTCTGAGACCCAGTCTTAACTTATTCTAAGAAAATTGTGTGTGTTCTGATTTTCTTAATTTAGAAGATAACAAAGTGGCTATAGAAAATTTAGAAAACAGAACAGAAATTATGCACTGTCTCTTCACCAGGCATTTTGGCATCCCTTTGCCCGAGTGCCTCTTCCGCCACTGTTCCCGTCCGAGAATGTGAGCCACATAGCTTCTTCATTCATCACCATGTCCTGGGCACTTCCTCCTGGCGACACCTGGTCTGAGTAGCTGTTTCCTAGGAGATCCTGTGTCTTCCCATCCCTCTGCCACCACCACTTCACCCAGACCCTCTGACTGCACCTGTGCATGTCCCATCTGTCACTGTTGTGGTGGCTGTTACTACAAGTCCCATGTTGCTAGGATTAAGCAGGCAATTTGGCACTCAAACCACACGGGTCCAGGGCCTTGCTCACCGTGATATAGGCTGGGGTAGCAAGACGCTGGATGCTCACTGCTTTCTGCTTCAGAGTTTCTCAGAGTCATGACAGGACAGGACAGTTGTGCTAACTCACAAGGGCCTCTTCCGTGTGGGTTAGCATGCTGGAGCAATCCCAGGCTACCTCAGCCATGGGATGACCCCTGAGCTGTGGCCCAGGTCACCTGATGGCTCACCCAGCCAGGAGGTGGTCCCAGCCCAGGAACCCCCTGAAAGCCCCTGGCCTGAGACTCTGGGTCTCCATGGCCAGTTCCCTACCCCACCTCCTTGCCTGCCTCACTGATTGGCTGGCTCAGCGTAGAGCTGGCCTTGGCAAGATGGGCCTCCCCCTTTGGTGTCCAGGACCTGACCCCACCCATTCCCCTTCCGGTCTTCCAGCCTTGGAGCTGAGAAGAGGCCTCTTCTCTGGTTGCCTGGCCACCTCTGGCCTTAGGTTCTCCAAGGCTGGCCCAGCCTGGCAGTCTCTGTGAAAATAGAGGCCTCCTTAGCCTGAGACTTGGGCAGGTGTCCTGAGCTCCAGTGTAAGGACAGCTAGATCAGCATGATTTCCCATCATTCCTGGTGGCCAGGAAGGGGAAAAAGTAAGGGTTGGGCCAGAGATTTAGCTCAGTGGTTCCCCAAGCACAAGGTTCTGACTTTGATCCCCAGTACCAAAAAAACAAAAAAAAAAAGTAAGGGTGGAGTGGGGGGGCTTCAAGGGCCTCCCAGCTGCATGTTGGAAGGACACTCAGTGGGTCCTCAAAGTCCTGGGAACTCGTGTTGGAATCACTCTCTCTGGCAGATGCTGCCCAGGTCTGACCTGACTACCACTGTGACACATCTTACTTCACTTGTTCTGCTTCCCTGCAGACTGGGGTGACAAGGCGGACACTCTTTGGGCCCAAGAGCTGTAGCTCCAGATCACCCTGGTGGCAGGGAGCCTTCCCTAGGTGGACCATTCCATTCAGAGAGTTTCAGGCATTCAACCTCATACCCTGGCTGCCAGACTTCTCCCATTCCCTGGGCTTGGCACAAGGGAAGTGGGCATTACAACTGCCCTCCTGTCCCTCCACTCTGGCCAAGATGAGGTCACAGGGTGGGGTCCTCCCCAAGATGTTGGTCTGGCTGGGGCGAGCTCTTTGGGTGTTTCTCGGTACCTCCCCCCTCCACCCCCTGTCCTTGGTTGGGGACAGGATGGGTGGAGAAGCAGGCAGCCCCCAGCACCCAGCAGGGAGCACTACCTCCCTTCTCCTCCCCTGTGGGTCCCTTCATCCAAGGACTTGAAATAGAATCCACTAAGTAATGATTAAAGTCAAATTCAGACCTAAAAATAAAAGAGCTAGAGAAGGAAGAGCTGGTGTGCTCCCTGCATGACTGAGGGGGGATGCAAGCAGAGAGGGAGGCTCCAGGTGCTCCCCATGGCCGGGAGTGCCCTGTAGATTAGGGGTGCTTTTCCATCAGGTGGGATGCAGCCCTCTGCACCCATTGTTGTACCAACCTCGAGCACTCTGGCAGGACCAGATAGTGAATTCCACTTCTTCCACGGGAAAACTGAGTCCCAGGGGATGAAGTGGTTTGTCTGACAGCTGAATACATGGGAGCTCCCCTCAGTGGCAGGCTGGAGGCCCCCACGCAGCCCAGCCCACTCTTCCTGGTGCTCAGTTTCTCTTCCTGGTTCTAAGGCACAGCGATGAAGGCAGCTTCTCGTCACACTCGCACTGTGTGCACCCTTCAACTGACCGCAGCTTCCCCCGCCTTCCCTCCCCTCCCCTTCTGTGGTCTGCAGCAGAGACAGAGGAGGCGGCATGCACCCCCGGCTTGCCTGCTCTGTGTGGTTGGAAGCCTTGGAGTGCTATCACCTGGGACCCCTTGTTGCATGGGTGGCCTGATTGTCCATACTGCTGGGAGCCGGGAGGGGGGATGAGCCTGCTGCAGGCCTTGGAGAATCCAGCTCTAGGGTGTCAGGGAGGCCTTCAGTTCCCACTTCCTGGCAGCTCAGAAGCTGGAGATCTGCATGGGCCGGAGCTGCCTGGAGGACTTCCTGGAGGGAGGGTAAGGGCCTGTGAAAATCAAGAAATGCTTGAGGGAGAGACAGTCTGGGGACAGAGGTCCCTGACTAGAGCTTCTGACTTCTCTAATTGCTGTGAGGCCCTGCTTCTAACCTCTTTGTGTAAGCCTCGGGTATGCAAATATCCATTTACTTCCTGGAGCAAGAGGACCAAGCTCTGGGCAGCCCCTAACCCACCCTCCACCTGCCTGTTTTCAGGGTGTCATCTGTCCTGCCCAAGGGAAAGTTGGAGGAAAGGCCTCCTGGCCAAAGTTCAGACATATCTGTGCTTAGGCCTCCCTGGAGGCCAGGTGGGTCACTAGGCTGTCGCCCACATACTCTTTCTTTCTTTTTTTTTTTTTGTACCAGAAGTGAACTCAGGACCTTGCGCTTGCAAGGCAGGTAGCAGCACCACTGAGCTAAATACCCAGTCTACCCACATACTTTTTTCACAGTCAATCTTGTGTGGAGGGTGGGTGTGGATGACCCTTCTGTCCCTGCAAGGGGATGGCAAGTGTGCTTGTCCATGTGTTGGACCAGGTAGCCTTCCCTCCTGAGCTGTGAGCTCTTCAAGTCTCATTTCTTAAATGAGCCCAGAAATCCAAGGACCAAAGTTCTAGACAGAGCCAGCGCTCAGGAGTCTGAAGCAGGAGGATCACCACAAGTTCAAGACCAGCCTGGGCTACTTGAGTCAAGGCCACCCTGGACTACATAGCCAGACTCTTAATCACCCCTGCCCCCCAAAAAACGTTTAGACTAAGCCTGAGACCTCTTGGGCTGTCTCTTCTGACCCTCCTGCATGGCCCTGGCCAAGGGGGGCTCCTGACAGACTGCTCAGGGAGTGGGAAAGGCAGGTGGGCCTCTGGGCCTCAGTCCTCCCCTTTTACCCCTCCTGTAACTTGGGACTTGGGGATGAGGGCTAAGAACTCTGCAGGACTTTGTGGGTTTGGGGAGGTTGGGATGAGTGGCAACATGTAAATGTAGGCAAATGAAGTTGCAAAGACCATAGCTTGTGCTGGGGGGTGGGGAGCAGAGGCCTGGGTTAGGGCCCTGGGGAGGCCCAGTCCCAATTGCCCAGTGCTGTGGGTAATTAGGCTCCTGAGCGGTAATTAGAAGCCTTTCTGGGCCAGGAGTGGCAGCCTCCAGCTGCTGGAGCTGGGAAGAGGCTCCCCATTAGCCTCCTCTAACCCAGCCCCCACTTCTTACTCCCAAACCGCTAGACAGGATTTCCGGTACCACTGAGCCCTGGGGGGCAGAACAGAAGCCTGAGTGAGTTACTATCATTTGGTTTTTCATTAGTTCTGGGTTCTGAAGGTTGGGGCAGAGGCTTAGAGCAGCAGGCATAGGGACCACAGCCAGGCATCCTTCCAGTCCTCACCCTCAGGGCCTTAGGCACCTGCAGGGGTCTTGTGCTGACTCCACTGGAGCCAGCAGGACCCGCCCCCACACACACACCATGTGTCAGGCACTGTCACTGTGCTGTCAGCAGGATGTCCTCTGCAGATCCAGGGGTGGGGTTGCTGTTATTGCTGCCAAACCTGCCCAGCTGCTGGCAGAGGCCCGCCCTGCTCAGTGCCCAAGTCTGAAATTCAATTCTGCCTATGTCTGCCCTGTGACCTGTCGGAAACTTCCGGCTCAGAGCCCTCTTGGGCCACCACTCTGCATATTATACAGCCTTCATTAACTCTCTCTAGACCTTGCCCTGGGCCTGTTCTAGGGCACCCCTCTCCCAGTTGCTTTCCCCTGAAATCCCTCTGGGTCCCCTCCCCCTTCTGCTGGAGCTTTCCTGAATGACCTTTGTCTCTTTCTGGTTGTGGGTGCTGGAGATCAAACCCAGGGCCCAGGCATGCTAAGCAGGCGCCACCTTCTCAACCCTCTGCCCAATCTTCTGAGCTCACGATGGTCAGGCTGTGGTTGGGCAAACAGGAGCTACCTGCATCCTGTTTGGGTGTCCAGCACCTGGCCCTAGGCCTGGGCTCTAAGGAGGCTCGGGAGCCCAGTGCTTTGGTCCCTAAGCCTGAGACCTCCTGGGCTGTCTCTCCTGTCCCTCCTGCATGGCTCTGGCCAAGGAGGGCTCCTGACAGACTGCTCAGGGAGTGAGAAGGCAGAGAGGGCCTTCCGCCTGCCCTTCATGTTTCCCCCACCCCCAGAGGGTCCAGCTGGGTTCTGGGGCAGGACCAGCGTCCCTCGGGACCATGGCCCCTGGTCCCCCCAGATCTCTGTGCACTTCCCTTTTCAGTGGTATTTTTAGCTGGCTGTAAACAGTCACTGAAAGCTCCCATGCCCCAGGAGGCAGTGCTGCTTGGTGAGGGGGGCAGGGCAGGAGCCCCTTGACCTCCCCTGGCCTCCACACGTGTCTGGCACTGAGGGTCTCCATCTCCAGCTGCCCACAGGAAAGGGGACAGGGCAGTTGGGGAGCTTCTAGGCTCCCATTCCCCTTTTAGTCCCCCTCCCAACAGTCGGGGCTCCCAAGAAAGGCCTGCCTGAGGCCGCGGCCACTGACCTCAGCACTCAGGCACAATGCCCGGCCTGTTCCCGGGACCCTAGCACAAGGGCTGCTGGGAGCAGCATTTGGGGCAGGAAGTCAGGGTGAAGCATCAGCCGTGCCACATCTCAAGCCCCTGTCCTCCACCCCTGTGGGGGTGGGTGACAGCTGCTATCCCTTTGGGGTTAAATATAGTTCCTTTGGCTACAGCTCTCAGTATGGTATAGCCAGCCTGGCCTCCCCCTTTATCCATGCACCCATTCACCCATCCATTCATGCAGTTCTCTTTACCGAGCAGCTACTCAGGCCCAGCCCAATCTAGGGGGTGGGTGCAGACATGAGTCAGACCCTAGCTGTCCCCTGTGGAGCTCCCAGCTCCTGCTCTGCCCTAAACCACAGGCCAAGGTTGCTGGAGGCCCTGGAGACTCAGAACCAAGGAAGATTCCTGGCAAATGCAACTTATTTTCCATTTTAGTTTTAGGGAAAGGTACTAGACACGTGGGGCTTTAAAAACTGATGAATGTAACTGTATTGTATACCTAAAATGTACCAATAAAGAAAAAAGGGGGAAAAACCCTAAAAGAACAATATAGCAAATATGGAATAAAAGTAGGCTTTCCTGGAGCATGGTCCCACTCTCTCCCATCCTAAAGGCAACCTTAGTTACCATTTTCCTATGTCTGTCCAAAGATACTTGAGGCAAATGTAAGTTTAGACTGTGTTATATAACTCCTTTCTCTTTTTGGTTTTTGGTTTTGTTTTTGTTTTTTGTACCAGGGATTGAACTCAGGACCTTGCACTTGCCACTGAACTAAATCCCCAGCCCTCTTTCTGGTTTTTTTGAGACAGGGTCTCACTATGTATTTCAGGCTGGCTTTGAACTCACTGTGTAGCCCAGGCTGGCCTCAAACTCATGGTGATCCCCCTGCCTCAGCCACCTGAGTGCTGGGATCACAGACGTGTGCATCTCCTTTTAAAACATGCCCTTGTAGTACACCGTAGGTGGTATACACCTGGCTGCTTCCACAGCCTTTGGTTTTGAGTGTGTCAAACCTTTTAAAAAGCTGATATGATGGTATGATCAGTATTTATATATTTATCAGTCAGATTTGCCAGTTCTTTCTGCCATTCTCTCCTCTTATCTATACAGATGTAGGTATGTTTATGCCATTCTTTGCTGGTTTGTGTGCTGGTTGTAAATATCATCTTTCCCTCTTGACAACTTTGTGTGTATCTTTTACAAAATTGTACTCAAGGGCCAAGGATTTAGCTAGTAGTGCCATGCCTGCCTGGCAAGTACAAGGTCCTGAATTCAACTCCTGGTTAAAAAAAAAAATTACACTCAAGAAAATTTACATTAGTTTCTTATTATCTATTTTTCCATTTTCCCAGTTGTGCCCAAATGATTATTAGAGCACTGTCACCCCCCATACAGAATCCAATTCAGGATCACTCATTGAATCTTGTTGTGATTTTTTAGTGTCCAATTTAATCTAGAACATCCTCTAGTGTGTGTGTGTGTGTGTGTGTGTGTGTGTGTGTGTGTGTGTGTGTTTTGTTCTCTTTGTGACATTGGCATCCAGAGTCCAGGCCACCTATTTAAGAACTGTCCAGGGCTGGGGATAAAAAACTGTCTGATTGGAGTCAGGTTAATGCCTCTAGCAAGAATACCACCCAGAAGAGGCTGTGTCCCCCTTCAGAACATAGTGACAGGAGGTACCTAGTATCTGCTTGATTTTTTTTTACTTTTGCAGTACACCTGTACTGGGGATTGAACCAGGGGCTTTGCACTGAGCTACATCCCCAGACCTTTTAAAATTTAGAAGCAGGGGATTTAGCTCAGTGGTTCCACTGCCTGCCTCACAAGTACAAGGTCCCGAGTTCGATCCCCGGTACCAAAAAAACAAACAAAAAATTTAGAAACAGGGTCTTGCCAAGTTGCTAAATTACCCAGACTGGGCTCAAACTCCTAATTCTTCTGCCTCAGCCTCCTTGGTGCTGGGATTTCAGGCATGTGTCACTTTGTTTGCATGCTTATTGGTGATGCTTAACTTAATTTGCTTGCTTGGTTAAGGCATCCCCCAGCTCTCCCTAATGTGAAGGTCCTTTTCCTCTTTCTGGTTAATCTGTGGGGTGATGCTTGGAAGCTAAGTCTCGTCCTGTGTCCATGGCTTTTCTCCATGCTGTCACCCGGTGCTCCGCCGGGTCACTTACTCTGTCTCAAGGAGTGCTCCAGGTCCACACTAGGGATCTGGCCCCCTCACACCTGGAGCTGTGCAGTTCCTTTTTGGGGACAACTGGTGGTTTGCTCCCCGTTACTGGACCTAAAGGTTGTGTCCCCATCTCTTGCTCCTATGATGCCACTGCGGAGATTGTCCTGCTGCATTGTTCCCAGCTGCACCCCCGAGGCTCAGTAGACTTCTCAGGAAACGGACAAGGAATGGAGAGGGAGGGAGGCTGCCAGGGGGTGTGTGTCCCGGGAACAGTGCATAGGAAGTAGGTCTGGCTGCGGTGCTGGAAGCGGCCGAGTGGTTTTACCTAGGTTGTACAACATGTTGGTAGTAGAGCCAGCTCCAAGACTCAGAGCCCCCCATCTAGGACAGTGTTCCTGCCTGCCTCTGGCAAAGCCTCTCGAGCTCCCCCAGATCCTCATCTGCAGAATGGGGATAATAACAGCCTCCTGTCCCCAAGTTGGTAAGATTGGATGAGCTGTGATGTGCCAAGGACAGGGCCTGGCACCGAATTCGTGCTCAGAAAACAGGGCCTGTTATTATTTTTTATTATTATCCTCAAGGCAGTGGGGAGGCGGCAGCAGCAGCTGCAGGCCTGGCTGAGTGTTTGCAAACTGACAGCTGGAGGGTGACTAACTGCGCAGCCTCCACGCCCCCCTGCCATGGCAGCAAGTGTGCTCTGAATTGGGGAAACAGAGAGGTGTCGGGTGTGGAGCGCTGGTGGCTGAGCCAGCCATAGGAGCACCCCAACTCCAGCTCAGAATATCTTACCTAACTTGCTGTGAGTCCTTGGGCAAGCCATTCAACCTCTCATGCCTGTTTCCATGTCTTGCCTGTAAAGTAGGGAGAAGAGAGTTCGCAGCGCCCCCACCACCACCATGGCATGCGTTCAGGCCGTGGCTCTTTAGGCCTTGGTGCCAGTATCTGGACCACAGGGCATCAGTGATGCAGGAAGGGCCGGGTGTTGGAGGGGTGGGGGGTGCCGGACACTCCAAGCTCGGGTCTCACTCTACTCCCTCCCACCTGCCTTCAGGGTGTCCCTGGCCCATTTCAGGGTGAGGGCTGTGGAGCTCAGAGTGGAGCCATCATCCTGAGTGGTGCAAAGCCAGGTGCCACCCCAGCTGCCTGTCTGCAGAGCCAGGGTTCAGCCTGGAGCAGGTGGTGTCCTGCTTCCTGCTCCCTAGCTCCTGCTGAGCTGTGAGAGCCCATACTCCTGGCTGAAGCCCCCAGAGTACAACCCTAGCCCCCTACATTGGCTTTGGAAGCCCCCTGCTACCCTGCCAGCCCTATGCATAACCCACACCACAGGCAAGAAGGTGCTCAGGGTGGCCTGAGGAACTTGGGGCCACAGAGCTCCGGTGAACACCTGTCCTGCCTGCCCTCACCACTGGCGCTGCCTCAGCCGGGTTCTGGGCTGTGCCTTGTGTCTGTCCCATGCCAGCCGCCTGTACTCTGCCTTCCGAAGCACACCCAGCCTTCAGGGCTTAGCTCTGATGCCCCACCCCCACCCAACAGTTACATTACACCACTGCCAGCCGAGGGCTGGTGGTGGCACATGTGACCGCCACCTGGCAGCCAGAGCTCATCTGTCCTATTTGTTTGTCCTGTGTGCTTGTTTGTTTGTTTGTTTTGAGACAGGTTCTCACTATGTAGTTGAGACTGACCTGGAACTCACTATGTAGCCCAGGCTGGTCTTGAACTCACAGCGATCCTCCCGCCTCAGTCTCCCAAGTGCTGGGATTACAGGCATGCACACCACACCTGGCTCATCTGTCCTATTGAGGAGCCTCCCATTGAGGCTTGGGGGTCTCTGTTCTGACTTAGTGGACCCCAGAGAGGCCTGGACTGGCTCTGCCTGGGTCCTTTCCTGAGAAGGGACAGCAGTCCCAGCCCTCTGCTTCCTCCCTGAGGCTAATCGGCATCCAAGCCACATTTGGGACACTGGTGGTGGCGGTACAATGATGGAGGGACCCCGGCTTGCTCCTCCTGGCCATGGGCAGTATGGGTGAGCAGCGCCTCAGGGAATTACCTTTATTGACCTAAGCACAACGGAGAAGCACACCAGTCGTTTGGATGCAGCTCCAGGCAGTGTACCCACCCTGGGGCTGGGCCCATACAATCCAGATAACCAATCCCTGGGGTTGCCTCGTGCCTCTTCTGGTCTCCCCTCCTGAAGGCACCACGTGCATCACGCAGTCTTTGTTCTTTTTGTGTCTGTCTTTATGGACGTCAGATTCATCAGGGCTGCTCGGTAGCTGCAGGGTTGGTGCTTGCCACTGCACAGCACCCCCTTTCATGACTGCCCTGCGTATGTCCCTTTTGCTCTTGGACACTCAAGCCATCCCCGGTTGAGGATGGTGCTGCTGTGTGCCCGTGCCTGCCCCGGCGAACATGGGCCCTGTGCCTCGTGGGTGTGCCCTGAGAACTGGCTTCAGAGGTGTTGCCAGGAGAACTTTTATGGGGGAACCTACCTGTGTGGCCTGTGGAGCACAGGGGACTTCCCGGTGGCACGGAACCTCCCCATTCTCAGCACAGCACAGGGCTGGGGCTCATGGTGGTAGCTGTACTGCCATTGCCCCTCCAGGACTCCTTTGCTCCTCCTGGTCATTCTGTCCAGCTTGTAAGGCCCCCCTGGATTTAGGGTTGGTGGCAGCCCACTGCTGGCGTCCTCAGCCGTCATGCCCCTGCTTGAGACTGGAGAAGATGAAGATGGGCCCTGGATCAGGGAAGGCCATCTCTTCCTGCTCTCCTCAATTTCTTCTCCCCACAGCTCTAATGGTACCAAGTGACAGATCGGCCTTCCTGTGACACGGAGACACGAGATCTCCTGAGAAGATGTCGGCAATACAGGTACCACATGGTGGGGTCTAGTAATCTTCGCATTCCCACGTATAAGCAGAGGAGAGATGTGGGCTTAGGTTACCCTGCTCTCCCCCTTTCCCCACCCCACCGTCCCAGGCCAGGCTTTCAATAAAGAAAAATTCCAAGCCCAACATGGTGGTACAAATCTATAATCCCAGTGCACTGGGAGGCTGAGGCAGGAGGGTCACAAATTCAAGCCCAGGTTAGACAATTTAGTAAGACCCTATCTCAAAATAAATAAAAACTTCAGGGCCAGGGATTTAGCTCAGCGATTTGCTTGCCTTGCAAGAATAAGGTCCTGAGTTTGATCCCTGGTAACAAAAAATTAAATTAAAAAATAAAATAAAAAGGGCTGGGGATGTAGCTCCATGTAAAGGCTGTGGATTCTATCCTCAGTATCACACACAGGCACCAAGAAGTAAAGTCTCAGCCTGCATTATCAGGCACAGGTCTGGAGTGGTAGGGGCCTCTCAGCTGGCGGGGACCCGGGGCTCTCAGAGGAGGAGCCTCCTCAGGCTCAGAGGCTGTGAGCTCCAGGGTGTGCAGGCAGGTGGGTGGGGCGGAGCCCAGGATGCACCCTCCCACCTGTCCCCCTCCTGCAGGCCGCCTGGCCATCCGGTACAGAATGTATTGCCAAGTACAACTTCCACGGCACGGCTGAGCAGGACCTTCCCTTCTGCAAAGGAGACGTGCTCACCATTGTGGCCGTCACCAAGGTACTTGGGGACCTTGTTGGCTACCCTGCCCTCCCACCCCTGGGGCTTCTGGGTTGGGTCCCCTGCATTGGGGGGATGGCCCTCAGTATGTGTCTGGGCTGTCACCACCCCCAGGACCCCAACTGGTACAAAGCCAAGAACAAGGTGGGCCGTGAGGGCATCATCCCAGCCAACTACGTCCAGAAGCGGGAGGGCGTGAAGGCAGGCACCAAACTCAGCCTCATGCCGTGAGTGCTATGAGGAGGGGTCCTGGGGTGGGGAAATAGGAACAGGGTGTGGGTGTAGTCCTCCTAGAAGAACCCTGAGGAAGGAGAGGGGAGGCCCCCTGGTGTGCATGTGGGGCTTCCTGAAAGGGATGGGCAGGGCATGGGGTGGAAGAAAAGGACATGGAACAAGTAAGGTCCTAGAATGCCTAGCTGAGCATGTGGGGGCTGTGGGGTGGCCTGAGAGAGAGGGAACAGCTCCAGAAAGCAGAGAGCAGCAGAGGTCCCTGTGACCCTGGGCCCTGCCACCCTCAGCTGGTTCCATGGCAAGATCACCCGGGAGCAGGCCGAGCGGCTCCTGTACCCACCGGAGACGGGCCTGTTCCTGGTTCGGGAGAGCACCAACTACCCTGGAGACTACACACTGTGCGTGAGCTGTGACGGCAAGGTGGAGCACTACCGCATCATGTACCATGCCAGCAAGCTGAGCATCGATGAGGAAGTCTACTTTGAGAACCTCATGCAGCTGGTGGAGGTGAGTGGCAGGCAGGTCCCACTTGGTGATCCTCTGAGGGCTGACCTCAGCCCCCCACAGGAGGGGGATTGGTCCCCTGCTGTACAATGGGACACCAGGATTAGGACCTGAGCCTGCCTTGATCCCAGCTCACTTCCCTCCGGCTGCTCACAGAAGTACATGCCCAGATGTTCGTGTATAGATGTGAGCTGTGCCTGGCATGGCCAGCGCCCCAGGAGCCTCTACCTCCTTGGTGTCTCCCCACCCACTCTTGTGACTGTCTCCTTTAATAGCCTGACCTGGCCTGTGGCTAGAAAAGCTCAGGGTCCCGGGCATGCCTGCCTAGAGTCTGGTGTCATTTCCAAGCCAGGGTGCTGGTAGCAAGAGGCAGGCATCTGTCCAGTAGCTGGGTGTGAGGTGGAACAGAAATGGGGAGCCCTCCAGTCTGGACACCTTCAGTCTGGGTGTGCCTGGCCTCTGCCGCCCTCTGGTGGTCAGACTGAACAGCACCTGCAGGTGCACAGAGGGGTCGCATTCCTGCTGGCTCTGAGCCTGGTGCCCACTCCCCAGCACTACACCACAGATGCAGATGGGCTCTGCACTCGCCTCATCAAACCAAAGGTCATGGAGGGCACAGTGGCAGCCCAGGACGAGTTCTATCGCAGTGAGTGCCCTCACCCTGGCCACCTCCCACCCGGGTCTCCCCAGGGGACCCTAAGACCTCGATGTCATCCCAGCCAGGACCCCACCTGCCAGAGCCCTCACTGAGCCTCCCCACAGGTGGCTGGGCACTCAACTTGAAGGAGCTGAAGCTGCTGCAGACCATTGGGAAGGGGGAGTTCGGAGGTGAGTGACGGGCCTGGCGCTGGGACTGCGGGCTGCAGGGAAGCAGGGAGCAACTCTCCATTTTACCCCCAGACGTGATGCTGGGTGACTACCGGGGCAACAAAGTCGCTGTCAAGTGCATCAAGAATGATGCCACTGCCCAGGCTTTCCTGGCTGAAGCCTCAGTCATGACGTAAGTGGGCAGGGGTGGCTGTCGGTGGCCCCAGCCAAGGCAGGGGACAGGGTGGCCTGGCAGGCTCTGACAGCCCTGTCTACTTCAGGCAACTTCGGCACAGCAACCTGGTGCAGCTCCTAGGAGTCATCGTGGAGGAGAAGGGCGGGCTCTACATTGTCACTGAGTACATGGCCAAGGTGGTCACCTGCCCCAACCTCTCCATGCACTGTGCCCCAGCTTCCCCACCCCACTGAGCTCAAGGTCACCAGGGCCTGGCTTTTCCTTTATTGATGGTGACCTGGGACGAGTCATGTCACCTCTCTGAGCCTGTTTCTAGGTCTACCCCCGAGATTCACAAGGGTTAAGAGATAACCTGTGACTGGGTGTGGTGGTACACATCTGTAATCCCTGCACTAAGGAAATTGAAGCAGGAGGATCAACTTGGAGTTCAGTAGGCTCTGACAGCCCTGTCTACTTCAGGCAACTTCGGCACAGCAACCTGGTGCAGCTCCTAGGAGTCATCGTGGAGGAGAAGGGCGGGCTCTACATTGTCACTGAGTACATGGCCAAGGTGGTCACCTGCCCCAACCTCTCCATGCACTGTGCCCCAGCTTCCCCACCCCACTGAGCTCAAGGTCACCAGGGCCTGGCTTTTCCTTTATTGATGGTGACCTGGGACGAGTCATGTCACCTCTCTGAGCCTGTTTCTAGGTCTACCCCCGAGATTCACAAGGGTTAAGAGATAACCTGTGACTGGGTGTGGTGGTACACATCTGTAATCCCTGCACTAAGGAAATTGAAGCAGGAGGATCAACTTGGAGTTCAGTGCCAGCCTGAGCTACACAGCGAGACCCTTTCTCAAAAAAAAAAGGGGGGGGGTGGCTGGGGATGTAGCTCAGTGGTTCCACCACTTGCCTTACAAGCACAAGGTCCTGAGTTTGATCCCTGGTACCAAAAAACAAAAAAAATAACCAATGATGCTAATCAGTGTCCAGCAGGGGTGGCCTGGCCCTCTCCTTCCTCCCATTTCCCTAGCCCTGAGCCCATGTTCCTGAGGACCATGAGGCTAGTCTGTCTGTCTGTCTGCTGGCCAGGGGAGCCTGGTGGACTACCTGCGGTCTCGGGGCCGGTCGGTGCTGGGCGGAGACTGTCTCCTCAAGTTCTCACTGTGAGTGAACAGCCCTGGGTGGGGAGTCAAGGGGACACCCTGTCCTGCCACAGGAGTCTTGCCTGAGGGTCATGTGACTTGCCTGTCCCCAGAGATGTCTGCGAAGCCATGGAATACCTAGAGGGCAACAACTTTGTGCACCGGGACCTGGCCGCCCGGAATGTGCTGGTGTCAGAGGACAATGTGGCCAAGGTCAGCGACTTCGGCCTCACCAAGGAGGCCTCGAGTACGCAGGACACAGGCAAGCTGCCTGTCAAGTGGACGGCACCTGAGGCCCTGCGAGAGAAGGTGGGGTGTGCCTTCCCTGGGGCTACAAAGTAGTGAGCGAGGGCCTGGGAAACCAGTACCCCTGGGTTTCCGATCTGATGCTCATTCTCCCACCCACACGGCAGAAATTCTCCACCAAGTCCGACGTGTGGAGTTTTGGGATCCTCCTCTGGGAAATCTACTCCTTCGGGCGAGTGCCTTACCCAAGAATTGTGAGTGTGGGCACTGGGGCTGGGACATGGCTGGCACTGTAGGGTTGGCAAGGCATCCAGCCCTTGGGCCACTTCCTGGCCGGGTCTGAGGCAGAGCCAAAGGGGTCCCCTTTGGCTCGAGCCCTGGCTGACTCCCGGCACCCCCGCTGCAGCCCCTGAAAGATGTCGTCCCTCGGGTGGAGAAGGGCTACAAGATGGATGCCCCGGATGGCTGCCCACCTGCTGTCTATGAGGTCATGAAGAACTGCTGGCACCTGGATGCAGCTGCACGCCCCTCCTTCCTGCAGCTCCGAGAGCAACTTGAGCACATCAAGGCCCACGAGCTGCACCTGTGACCATGGGGGGACGGACCCAGAGGCCGGGGACCTGGTGCCCCGCCGCACGCTGGGCCAAGCCGGGACTGAGCCCCAGCGGGCTGGCGGATCTCTCTCTGTCCTTGCCTGTCCCCTCCAGCCCTGGGGCCCTGCCTAGGCCTGGCACCTGCTCTCATGGACCCGCCTGCAGGGCCAAGGGGCCTGAGCCGGATGGAGGCGAGGGGTGGGAGGCAGGGCCCATTGTGGTCAGCCTTCCCCAGCCTCCACCGCTCGCCTCCTTAGAGTTTTATTCCTTTCCTTTTTCGAGATTTTTTTCTGTGTGTTTATTTTTTATTATTTTTCAAGTCAAGGAGAAAGAAAGTACCCAGCCAATGGGCATTTTACAAGAAGTACGAATCTTATTTTTCCTGTCCCGCCCCGAGGGTGGGGGAGCGGCCCTTCTCTAGGGACCCATCGCCACGGCCTTGGCCCCCATTCCGTATTCCGTGTCCCGTGTTGCCTCGGCCGCCCCGTGTTTGCGCTTGACCGTGTCGCACTGTTTGCATGCGCCCGAGGCAGACGTCTGTCAGGGGCTTGATTTCATGTGCCGCTGCCACCGCCACCCACCCGCCGCCCACCTTGTGAGATGGAATCGTAATAAACCACTCCATGAGGACACGGCGCTTTCTCGCCGAGCCTGCCTGTCCCTGCCCTCCCGGTCGTGCCCATGCCATCTTGTCTCCCCCTGTCTCTGTCGGGGGGGCTGGGAGCATGGCCAGGAGATGTAGCCACCGCTTTGTGTCAGCTGCACGAGCGACTGTCCTGTGTCTACCTGTGGGGAGTGCTCACTGCCTGCCTTCCCCCGATGCCACCAGAGCCTGGTGCCAGATACTGCCCGGGTTCTGGCTGCCCCTCCTACTGCATTTGCTCATGACCAGCAAAGGTGGGCTGGAGCCAAGGTAGGGGGGCTGACCAGACAAGACTGGGGACAAGAGGAACCAAAGATGGCTCCATCCAAAGATGCCAGCTGTGGAGAGCCACTGAGAAGGGGCTGGTTCCTTACTTCACTCGAGACAGAGCAGCTCTGGCCTGTTGCCAGTGTACCGCGCCTGTGCCTGTCTGGACTCTCCATCCACTTAAGGTGCACAGATGGGAATGAGGGTTGCCCAGGGGCAGCAGAGCCTTGGAAGGAGAGGGCTTTGGGTTTGTTTCCTGAGACAGCACTGAGCCTCCTGTCCCAGTCAGCAGGGCCAGAAACACAGGGAGCTCAGACTGGATTTATGCCTATGTCCACCGCCATGGTTCCAGGCACCACATTCTTCCCAGCCCAAGGCAGAAGCCTTGCCCTTCTTGCTGGCCCTCACACACACTGCCAGGCTGATTCACTCGTTCTGCAGCAAACATCTGAACACCTGGTGCATGCTAGGGCTGAGGTGAGCAGTGAGCAGGACAGACCCGTGGCAGTCCGTCTGGGATGACGTCAGATACCTAAGCTCACCAGTGCTTCCTCCAGACTCCTGACCCCAGACAGAGAGGCAGCAGAACTGAGAGAGAGAAGGAGCCAGAGCAGGGTCAGCATTAGCAGCACTGAGGAGGGGTAGAAGGAGGGCAGTGGGTTCCATCTAAGAAGGTGGATGATGCTGCTGACCAGGACTGGGGTGCAGCTTGGTGTCAGAGTGCTTGCCTGGCACGCACAAGGCCCTGGGTTCAACTCTCAATACCATCAAACGGGGGGCAGGGCTGAGGGGTGAAATGGGCTGGAAAGCTGAGCCTGTGGCCAAGGAGTGGCTTTTACCAAGCCAAGAGTCACAGGAAGCAGATGACAGTTTCCTCTTAGGAGAGTGACATGGTAGATAAAAGTCATCCTGGTAGGTAAGGTCTGAAAAAAGTGAAGTAAAGACACAGTGGGAGACAGATGGACTGCAACATGAAGTTAGGGGTAAAATGAAGCTGGGCATGTGCCACTGTGTAACCCAGTACTTGGTAGGCTGGGGCAGGAAGATCTTAAGTGAGAACAGCCTGGGCAATTTAGTGAGACCCTGTCTCAAAAAACCGAAACCAGTGGAATGAACATGAGGGTGATGAAGAGAGAGGAGTCATAGCCACCTAACTACAGATGGATAGATGGATGGGTGGATGGATGCAGGAAGGGTGGGTGGTGGGCTCATAGCGCACTGAGGGCTTGCAGAGCTGCAAGAGCCTCTGAAGCTGCTGAGCCTTCTAGGTTGAGATGCTGGAGAAGGAACTTGGAGCATCAGGGCAGGTAGTGTGAATGCACAGCTATAGGAAAGGGCAAGGTCACTGAAGGACACAGGAGAAGGAAGAACCGGAGCCTGCTGGGTAAGGAGCTCCCATCATGGAAGGCCCCCTGAGGAGGTGACCACGCCCAATGGCAGAGGGAGAAGCTGAGAACAGGAGGCCAGGGAGGAACCACAGCGGGTCAGCCCCTGCCTTCCTCCTGACTAACCTCAAGGAGATCATTTTTGTTTTTGCTTTTTATGGTACTGGGCATTGAAATCCACAATGAGCTATATCTCCAGCTCTTTTTCATTTTTTGAAACAAATTCTTGCTAAGTTACCCAGCTTGGGCTGAAACTTAGATCCTCCTGGCTCAGCCTCCCAAGCTGCAGGACTTACAGACAGGTACCACAGGCCCCGCAAGGAGGTCCCTGGGGACCTGGGTTTGGTAGGGACCTTCGAGACTGCAGTGGTAGAGAAGAGGGAACAGTCTGAGGCCAACAGATTTTTGAGTAACGGAACTGTAACACAAGAAGCAGAGGAGGAGGATACGACAAATTTATGTAAGACAGAGGCTTGGGTGACTCTGACCACCAACGAGAAGGATATGACCTTCAGGTCACATCTGAGGAATGAGAAGAGATGGAAGTGAAGGACGGTGGGGCCTTCCTCGGGGCAGTTGGGACAGGAGGAGCACAGCCCAAATCCAGGGCAGGGTGTGGAGTGGGAGCTCTGGTCTATGGCACTGACAGCCATGGCCAGTTCCAGGCTCCAACCTGTCTCCACTGAGTGTGGGCCCTTTATCAACTCTAATCGGCTGCTCCAAGCCAGCCAGAATCCAGGGACCTCAGCAGAGCCTGTGTAGAGGAGAGGAGCAGGGTCCAGCTGCACACAGAGGTCCTTCCCTGTCCTCTCCTCTGGCCCCCAACCCTCCACCCACTCCATTTCCCCTGCTGGCTCTTTGTCCATGAGCTCAGTCACCCCTGTCCTTGTGGAGCTCATGGAGGCACAGGAGACCCTTGCAGGACTCTCGCCTTGATGCCCAGGAATCCAGTGGGTGCCACCCAGCCAGTGAGGAAGAAGCCACAGGAGACTCAAGCGGCTTCTCAGACACAGAGGACAGGCAGGGCAGAGGTCGTGAGGTCCAGATAAAGGACGCAGAGACGGGTGTACTGAACCCTGCATCAGTAGTTACCCCCCCACACACACACACCGCCTCTTCCACCCCCTGCTGTCCCCAGGCCCTGGAATATTGGAGCAAATCCCAGACATTATCTGAATTCACCCATAAAACTTTAGTATGTTTCTCCAAAAGACAACACTTGCACAATCACAGTACCACATTAACTTTAAAACATTTAAAGATAATTTTGCTGCTGTTTTTTGAGTCAGGCACTATGTAGTTCAGGTTGGCCTTGAACCCACTATGTAGCCCAGGCTGGTCTCAAACATGCAACAATCCTCTGGCTTCAGCCTCCTGAGTGCTGCAGCCATCATGCCCCGTGTGACAATTTCTTAATATAGTCAAATATGCATTGTTCAAATTTCCCCAATTATGTTATTTTTTTTCCACTTGGTGGGTTAAAGTTACGCTCCACATGAAGTCTATACAGTGCATTTATTTGCTTTGTCTTGTAAGCCTCCCTTGTTCATGTGATTTATTGGTGAGGACACCAAGGTTCTGGGAAGGACAAGCTTACTTTCAGGAAAGTGGAGAGAAGGTGGGGAGAGGCAAAGAGGAGAGGAAGAGGTGGTAGGTGGATGGTTGGACAGAGTCAGGATGTTGTGAGGGGCACAGAGGCAGGAGGCAGAAGGCCATCCCCACCCCTGGAAAGGAGGAGCCAGGGCTCTGCAGGTGGCCTTCCCTGGGTGCCCTGGGTATCCCTGCCACCAGTTGCTGGAGCCCAAGAGCAGAGGCAGCAACTCAGCTGGCAGGGGAGGGTGGGGCTCAAGATAGCCCAGGAGGAACAGGATGTCTGTACTGGAGAGGGAGGGACAGGTCAGTGCCAAAACCCAGGCACTGGTAGTGCTCAGCTCCTCCTGCCTGGCCCAAGCCCAGCCCCCCGCCACCTCCGAGCTCCAATTACCCTGGTACCCGGATGTCAGCTCCTTCTGCTCACCATGCTGGGGGTCCAAGGTCCCACTGTCCTGCTCTGCCTGCTTTTCCTCTTGCTCCTAGAACCCTACAGTGCTGAGGGGAGCCCCTCTCTTCCTCGGCGCAGGTTTGAGTACAAGCTCAGCTTCAAAGGCCCGAGGCTGGCATGGCCGGGGGCCGGCATACCCTTCTGGAGCCATCATGGAGGTGAGCACAGAGGAGGGGACCCACCAGGCTGGGGATCCCTGAGGGCTGTGACTGGGAGGGGAGAAGATCTGCCTCCCAGGCTTGTCCCCTGCGCTCCCACTGGCCTGTTTCTCCTCTCTGCCCCTTCTGTGCCTCAGCACTCCTCTGACCTCCTTTGCTTCTCCTGGAACCTCCTCCACCTCCTCTGCCTCTGGGGCCTGTGAATATACACACAGTCACATGTGTGGGTGTCCTAGACACAGAAACGTATCCCCGGTATGCACGCGGGCACGGGGCAGCAGGCATGACAGTGTCTTAGGACATAGGTCTGCAGTCAAGGATTTCCAGACCTGACCTACAAGGAGTCTGTCTTTCAACCAATCTTGTTCTCAGAAAGGATAGTAACGACTTACTAGAAGCCTACAACCGAGAGGGGATGAATTAGGAATAACCAAGAAGACGAGGGCTTAGAGCAGGGCCTGATATGAGTTCAGTAACATAGCTTGTTTCCAAAATGTATACTAGGAAGTCTGCCTAGCTGTGGTGGATTTCGCTGAGCCTCCTAGCAAGCAAAGCAAAGAGAGAAAGCAGATCAGCTGTGTACTTCTATAAAATGTAAATTCTAAGAAATAGAATCATTCCTGACTGAAGCCCTTGAAGATGATAAGCCCTGTCAGCTGGGCCTCTTTCACAGGGGCACAGGAAGTAGACAAAGGAGTGGGCCTGTCTCAGGCTCAAGGTGCCAGGGTCAGGATAGCACTCACTGCTCTGGGCCTGCCAAGCCTGGGGCCATCACAGACCCAGTGGGGGAGATCACCTACTGACCCGCTCACTGTCCACCCATCCCTCCTTTGTGGAGTCCCTGCACCACGATCCTCTGGGATCAGCCGGAGATCCGGGATCAGTTAAGCTTCAGGAGCCCACAGTCATGGTGAGGCCCCCAGCCATGCACAGGGGCTGGACAGCCACTTGCAGCGGCAGTGGACAGACACACCATCCCCCGCCCATCCCTGGCCTTTCTGAGGAAACAGACCAGATTAGCAGCCTCTGGGAAGTCCTAGCAGGGCCCAGGCCCTCGACCAGGTTTCAGGCTAGAAGGGACCCCTGATTCCTGTCCCCAGCTCCTGCCAGGCCGGCCTCAGTTTCTCCCCTTTCTCCTCCCACCTATCACACAGCACCCTTCCTGTCCACCCCACTCCTCTGCCCCCTTTCCTTACCTGACCAGCCTGCAGGCCAGCTACGGTCCTGAGCCTCTATGTCTGTGGAGTCACAAATTGTTTGTGTTCTGGGGTCACAGGTGCCTCCTTTTCCCTTTCAAGTCCTCAGTCTCCCTCAGGGTGGAAAAGCCTGCACTTTGGAGCCATAAAACTGAAGTTCACTCCATGTATATTTACTTAACAATTCTGAGCCTCAGTTTCCCTGTCTCTAAAATGTAAAGCAGCACAGACCTACGGTGAGGCTGAGGTGAGAACCAGGCAGAGCAGCATTTGCTGCCGCCAGCCCCCCAAAACCCCCTCCAGCTGTGCAGGGCCCTGGTTCCCACTTCTTCTGGCCACTCCTGCATCTGATCGGCCACCACCAACACAATCACACTTTTTAAAAAATTGCTTGTAGTACTGGAGATTGAACCCAGGACCTCTGCACTGAGCCACATCCCCACCCCTTTTTACTTTTATTTTGAGACAGGGTCTAAGTCACTAAGTCACCCAGGCTGGGCTTGAACATGTAATCCTGCTGCCTCAGCCTCCTCAAGTGCTGAGATTATAGGTGTTCTTCAGCCCCTTATATAACAGCAGGTCTTCGTGCGACCTCCTCCCGGGGCCTGGCTGATGCGACAGAGGGACAGGGCCTGAGGGTAGAGTGGGCACAGGGTCTCAGGTGCCTGCTCCACAGATGCCATCCCAGGCCCGGAGGAGGTGCGGCTGGCACCATCCCTGAGGAACTGCAGTGGTGCCATGTGGGGCAGAACTCTGGTCCTCTTCCCAGCCTGGGAGGTGGAAATGCAGATGCGGGTGACCGGGCCAGGCCACCGGGGCTCCCAGGGCATGGTGAGTGGCCCCCACCCGGGCTTGGTAGGGGTGATGAGCCCAGGGCCCCAGCATCCTCAGGGACCCCTGAGCTGAGGGGCTGGGGCCCTGCAGGTCATGTGGTACACCCAGGACAGGGGCCTCACTGGCTCTGTCCCTGGGCGGCTGACCTCGAGGGACGGTGTGGGGATCTTCTTCGACTCCTCCTCCGAGGACACCCAGGTGAGGAACAGTCCCCTCCCACTTCCTCCTCACCTCCTCCCTGTGCCCTGGCTGAAGCTGGTGTCACCTTCCTGCAGAACAGCCCTGCCATCCGTGTGCTGGCCAGTGATGGCCACAGCTCCCAGGAGCACCTTGGGTAAGAGCCTGTGGGGAGCGGCTCATGTGCCATCACTCACACTTCCCCCAGGCCATCTCCAGCTGCCAGCTCACTGGCTCCCAGCCCAGCCCCCAGAATCGTGTCCTCTTTTCTGGGGACAGCCCCAGTGAATTTTCACCGGAGAGGTGAGGTGATTTGCTGAGGTCACACAGCCATGGCCAGAGCTGGCATCCGAGCCCAGACTTGCCTGTGAAGGTCCCCGCCCTGCTCTGCTGGCTTGTCCTTCCCTTTCTGCAGGTGACGTGGCCTCCTGGTGGCTGGGCCAGTTTGTCAGTGCCTCTCAGCAAACAGCCTCCGCTCATAACAATTAGAACAATTGCTCACATTTGTGGAGCTGAGCTTACTGTCCTTGGCCCAGTGCCTGCACGCTTGACATTCACCGCCTTGTGAACCCTGGTAACATGGTTATGAGCTACTTGCAATTATCTCCTTGTTTTAAAGTCAGGACACCAGGCTTTGCAAAGGTGAGGTAACTTGCCCAAGGTCACACAGTTAGGGTGCATGTCCTGGTGCCCTGTGCTGCTGTGGTGCTTCTGTGTGAGCTGCCAGCAGCACCCATGTACCCAGAGAAACCTGGGGCCCAGTGCACTACTCCTAACTCCCCAGAGACTGCGGCGCCACCCTGGGTGACCATGGGCTGGTCATATTGTCCTGGGCTGCTGGGGCTTGTCCCATGCTCCTTGGAAGTGTGGGGGCACTTGGAGCTGAAGGGAAAGAGAGGGACAGTGGGATTTAGTGGTAGGTTAGGGGCACAGAAGTCAAAACCCGTGGTTGTCCCAGACCTCTGTCCCTGGTGACAGCCATAGGGAGATCTCTGGCCCCTTCCTAAGCCAACTCGAGGGAAAGCTGGCTCCCCTGCCCCTCTTTCTTCTGTACAGGAGGTAGACGCCAACAAGGGAGACTCAAGCTAGACAATGGGGACTTGTCCCATGCCAGGTCACCCAGGGGTGAGGGGGTAAAAGAGTAGCTTCTGGCATTCCTCCAAATGGCCAGGCCTGAGGTCCTCTGTGGCCTGGCTGGATACCAAGTACCCACAGGAATGGAGGCAGCCGGGTGCTGGGCTCCTGTCACCGGGACTTCCGGAATCGGCCATATCCGTTCAGAGCACGGATCACCTACTGGCGAGAGAGGCTGCAAGTGAGTCCTCCTCCTGATTCTGGGGCCTCTGCTGGAGGGTATAGGTCATGAGCTCCAGGCTATGGAGGTGCTGCCTGAGGGTGCCCATGCTCCCAGCTCAAGTCCCCGGCACACGAGTCCTCACACCCATGGGGTCACTGGCAAATCCAGGCAGCACCCAGAATCCAGACACTCACAGGGCATATGCACAGGAAGCTCACATGATCCCAGGGTGCAGGTCACCTCCATGTCACTCTGGTCCCAAGCCCTGTGGCTGTCTGCCCTCTGTCAGGGGATGAGAGCACCTTTCCTCCATGCCCCTTAGGTGTCACTGAGCAGCGGCCTCACCCCTAGTGACCCTGAAGAGGTCTGTGTCGATGTGGGACCCCTGCTTTTGGCCCCTGGAGGTTTCTTTGGGGTTTCAGCAGCCACTGGCACACTGGCAGGTGAGGCACAAGGGGAGGTGAGAGTAGAGGGGCGGTGTTCATGACCAGCCCTTAGCAGACCTTTTGCAAACCCTGGGTGAGGCAATCCCCTCCTTGCCACATGACCTGGGCCTCTGTTACTGCAGGTCTCACATAGGACAAAACATGAGCAGTTTTCATCCCAATTGTCTCTTTAAGTGACCCTGGCTAGACACTGGGACAGGTGAAAGGGGCACAGTGCGAGGGACATTTAGGGACATGGAGCAGAGGGATGTGGTGTATGGAAAGCCCATGAGGGTCCTCCTGGAAAGCAGGAATCCTTGAGTGTCAGGGCTTTGGTCTATAGGCTCTGGAGACTGGGGAGCCATGGAAGGATTCTTTTCTTCTCTCTCCATCCATATGTATATATCCCTCACTCTCTTTCTTTCTCTCTTTCTTCCTTTCCTTCCCTTCCCTCCTTTCTCTTTCTGTACTGGAGATTGAATGCAGGGCCTTCACAATGAGCTACATCCCTAGCCCATTTTAAATTTTTTTCTTATTTTGAGACAGAGTCTCACTGACTCACCAAGTTGCTCAGGTTGGGCTCAAACTTGGGTCTCTCCTGCCTCAGGGAAGATTCCTGAGGAGGAGAGTAATATGGTCAGAGCCACGCTGGGGAAGTAGCCCTGTGTGTTGGTGCTTCCTGTAGCAGCTGTGCACTGGGAACCTGGAGTGTCCTTTGGTCTGCTGCCCTGGCTCCAGCCTACTATGTTTTGTGATGGTTCAGTTTTCCCACTTGCCCTGGGGTCACCTCAGACCAACGGTGTTTTCAGTCCTCGAAGCCACACATCAGCTTGTCTGTCCCCATACCCCACTAAAGATCAGAGAGCTGCCAAAAGTTACTCAGAGCCTAGGGACAAGGGGTGAGTGGCCAGAGTGCTGGGTGGAAAGATACTACCTTCCCTTCCCTACCCCTTTCCAGATGACCACGATGTCCTGTCCTTCCTGACCTTCAGTCTGAGTGAGCCTGGTCCAGAGGTGATGCCAGCCGGGCCCACCCTGACAGACAGCCCAGGCTCTCCTATCCCCAAACATCGGCTCCTGTCATGGTGCCCTCAGACCCCTCTGCATTGTGTGGGGGCAGTGCTGGGAGCCAGGCGCTGCCCTCTAGGCCTCCCAGGCTGGCAGGGCCAGGCTATGACAAGACAGTGCAGAGTGACCCGGTGATCAACAGACATAAGGGGCAGTGGGGCACAGAGAAGAGGTCAGAACCAGCCTGGGGAGATAGGCTTGAAGGAGGTCTGGGGTTGCAGTGAGGAGGAAGGGGTTTGCAATGGGTGGTGGAGACTGAGCTCCCATATCTGGAAACCTCAGGCTCGTTGACTGAGTTCCCTGGCTGGGGGATGCTTTGTCAGGGAGCGGGGCCCTGAGGGAGGGCTCCTTACTTCTGGGTCTCCATGGATTAGGGACCTAACCTTTCATCTTGCTCCTCCAGGCTCCCCCGGGGCCCTTCCTGGAGATGGAGCAACTCCGCCTGGCCAGGCAGCTGGAAGGGCTTCGGGCAAGGCTGGCCCTGGGAACCAGGAAGGATGCACGTCCACAGCCAAAATCCAGAACCCAGGAAGAAGGTAGCAGCCCAGGGCAGAGGCGTCACTGACCCTCTGTGCTTGGAACCTGGAGTCCTTTAACCCAGGGCAAGACAGTGGCCTGAGGGGGGCTGTACTTAGAAGAACCTGGGCCCAGGTCTTCTGTCCTGTCCCTACCTTACCATCCAGACACATTCCAGGGGGTCCTGAGGCAGAAGCTGCACCTTCTGATGCCCCTATCCAAGAAGCCCCCTCCCCAGTAGCATCTGTTGCTCCACTACAGCTGCCACCAGTCCCAGCTTTGTCCTATTCTCCAGGGGAAAGGCCCTTTGACCTGCAGGCCACACTGAGCAGACACAGCTGCATCTTGCAGGCCCTCTGGGGTCTCTCTGAGAGGCTGGCCCAAGTCAAGAAGCAATGGAAGAAGCAGCTAGGGAACACAGGCTGGTCCAGGTCTGAGGCTGGATGGGTGAGTGGCCCAAGGGACTCTGTAGCTCCACCTATAGGCCTCAAAGAACAGTAAGAGCTGGGTTTAGTAGGGCACACTTGTATTCCCAGCACCAGGAAGGCTGAGGCAGGAGGATCACCGTGAGTTCCAGGCCAGCCTAAGCTACATAGTGAGACCCTATCTCAAAAACACAAAAACAAAAATAAAAGCCACAAACGACAGAGCCAGGCGCAGGTATGGCAGGCAGAGAGGGGAGGGGTAAAAGGCTGAGATCACAGGGTGGGGCAGGGCTCCTGGATAAGCAAATGTCCACACAGCAGGGCAGGGAAGAGGTAATGAAAAATATTTGGATTTGGATCACAGAAAAATGACAGAAATACACTAGATACCAATTTGCATGTGGCTGCACATGTGATTTGCATATGGCTTGCTTAATGCTCAGCTGCACAAATCCTCATTTCATCTCCACTGTCATCCTGGCTCCTCCCCTGAGAGTTGTGCCTCAGGCATGCCCTGCCTGGGGACCTGGGAGCTAAGCCCACCCAGGCGAGGCATTTGGTCAGGCAGAGGCCAGCAGCTCCTGCAGGCTTTGCTGGGCTCTGACAGCTGAGGTTTTAATCTTGTGTCCCTAGGCCAGAGCAGCTTAGGGAGGGACTCATACCCTAGGACCAGTCCACCTGGTCCTACCACCAGGCTCAGGACCTCCCCGACAGATCCCATCCACCCCAGAGAGGCAGCTACCCTTCCAGGCCACTTGATGGAGCAGGGACTCAAAGCATGGGGTATGAATCATCCCTGGCCCCTAGCTTGGATCATACACTGTGAGGAAGGAACAAAGAGGACTAGGTTGGGATGGATTAGAAGGGGGAGGATTTTTTTTTGGTACCAGGGATCGAACTCGGGTCCTTGCGCTTGCAAGGGGAGGATTTTTTAAAATCCAGGAATGGAAAAAAAAAATACCCAGGAATGTGGGGGGTGGACCCTCAGGAGAAGGGATTTGAAATCAGGAGGGCACTCCAGAGCCCAGATGGACAGAGATGAAGGAAACTCGGTGAGCCTGGTATGATGGCGCACGCCTGTAATCCTAGCACTCAGGAGGGTGAGGCAGGAGGATCTTTGAGAGTTCTAGGCCAACCTGGGCTACATATTGATATCCTATCCAAGAAAACAAAAAATGAATAAAAGTGAAGAGGTCCCTGGTACTCTGGTAAAGCCCCTAGAAGGAGAAGGGCTGCAGTATCCCCAAGGAAGGTGGCTCTGAGAAAGCAGACCCTGAACCCTGGACCAGAGGCTATCCCCTCCCCTCTGCAGGATCCTGCCAAAGTCAGCACCCTGCTTGGTGGTCAGCAAGCTCTGCTCCAGGCCCTGCAAGAGATGAGGTAAGGGACAAGGGAGGAGGGGATGGGAGAGGAAAGAGAAACCCCCTACCAATGTGCCTCTCTGCCCAAAGGGGGTCCTGGAAGGAGCCAGTGTTTGATAGAGGTTTTAAAGGAACACAGCCAAGACCAGACCAGCCGGAGGAGGCAGTCCTTTGTTCCTTCTGCTCCTTACAAGTCTCCCAGCCTCCCATACTGGAGCCTGCGGGTCTAGGAGCTACCGTGGAGCCCTAGTTTGGGAAATCACCTGGGTGCGTGGATGTCCACTCCCCACCACACCTAGGAGCCTGGGATGGCAAAGGAGAGGAAGACAAGGGAAAGAAGCCAAATACCCTGCAGCCTGGGGGTCCAAGGCAGAGCCCAGGGAGGCAGTGGTTGAGCCAGGAAGCTTTAAGGAGATCGTTGTCTGGGCTAAATCTATCTCAGGTCTGGGACAAAGACCAACCCCCAAAAGGACGGTGCCTGTTCTCCACCATTCATGCCTTGCCTAGGGATCATGGGAAATGATCTGGGTGCAACCAGAAGGTGAACGAGTGACCACCTTGTGTCCACCCCACCAGGGATGTTGCTGCCCACATGGCCTCAGAAGCCCAGGTCATCTCTCTGCCTGTGGGCACTGAGCATCACTTCCTGGAGCTGGACCGGATCCTGAGCCTCCTGCATAAGGACCTTCAGGGCCTCAGGGTGGGAGAGGAAGAAGGGGTGCATGGGGCCTTCTCCCTGGGCAGCTTTACCCGAGATCACTCATCATTCAGCCGTGGAGCCACTCTGCCCTATGTCACCCTGTCCTTTCCTGCACTTTCCCTTGTCCTTACCCTATATGTCTGTCTGTGCCCCCCCATCTCTCATCTCTTAAGCCATTGGCCCCCGATGATCCCAGATCCCTGATGATGTCTTCCCAGCTTTTCCCACATGCAGCCATGAGGTCCAGGGTGCGGAGGCAGCTCTATGTAGCATCCCCTCTCCAGATAGCAGCCATGATGCCCCAGGCCTGGGGAGATATGACACCCTCATAGGGCACACATTCAAGGGCCCCTCCCTCCTGGGTTGCAAGCTGAGCCAGGACCCCAGACTCTGCCCTTTCAGAAAGCATCAGAAAAGCACCCCTGGCCACCTGGCTGGTGCCCAGGGACCTCCGCGTGCCTGTGGCCTGGCGTCTTCCTGCTCTTCCTCCTCATCCAGACTGCAGGCTTCTTCTACTATGTAAACTTCAGGTGGGTCCCTGTGGGCCAGACTCCTCACAGCTATCACTTTCTAGGGTGATTGCAAGCAGCAGAGCACAGAATAGGGCCCTTCTCTCCCTGGGCACAGCCACCCTGTGCAACGCCCTGTCTGCTCCTGCCTCACAGAGCCCTCCACGTCGAGGAGATGGCCAGGAGCTGACAGTGAGACCTGTGTGGTCAGCACTGATGGCAGAAGCTCAGGGACTGAAAGAGCAGCACAGAAGAAAGCACATGGAGATATAGGGAATCAACCGTGAAAGGACATTTGAGATGGGTAGTCAAGGTGAATAGGAGTTTTCCAACCTGCCAAGATAGGTAAAGGCTTCACGGCTAGAGAAAAAGGCATGAGAGCATGAAGAAAAGCCTAATATTTTGGAAAAAATGATAACTCAGTACTGCTAGAGACAAGAGCAGGATTAGTTTGTGACATTGGGCAAAGATAATAGAAAAGGTGGAGGGAAGCTGAGCATGGTGGAACACCCCTGTACTCCTGGCACTCTGGGAGGCTGAGGCAGAAGGACTGAAAGCTTAAGCGTGGTCTGAGAAGTTAGCAACTTAGAAGACCCTGTTTCAAAAAAAATTTTTTTTTGAAGGGCTGGGGATGTAGCTCAGTGCAAATACCCTGGGTCCAATCCCTAATTCTGCACAACTCCCCCCAAAAAGTGGAAGAGGTGGGAAGTTACTTTCTTCTTGGTGCGTGGTGGGTGTTTGCTGAATGAACGTGCATCATATACAGACGTAGATACACTAAGAGCCTCAGGAAAGAAACTGGCAGTCCTTGGGGGAATTTCAAGATGAGAAGAATCCATGTGGGTTGAATGGTCCTAGAGGAGAAGTGCAGGGTGCTGAGCTTTAACAGGCACAAAATGGAAATGATCATGGGCTCATGGGGACCCATAGGAATGCAGTGCTGGACTAAGCCTCCTAGATGGACTTTAATTTTTGTTTTTTTGGTACTGGGACTCTAACTCAGGACTTTGTGCTTGCAAGGCAGGTGTAGGTGCCACTAAGCCAAATCCCCAGCCCTAGGTGGACTTTAAATGCCAAAGGGAAATGTGAACCTTAGGTGGCACACAAAGGAAACCATAAGGACCCCAGAGAAGGGGTGGCTCTGGGGCAATAAGTGGAGGGAGACAGGTTTCAAGGGGCCAGGCAGGGCCTATAACCCCAGGACACAGGATGCTAGAGGAGGAGATCACCACAAGTTTGAGACTGGACTGCACAGCAGGTTCAAGGACAGCCTTAATTACATAGCAAGACCTTGTCTCAGAAAAACAAAAGCACAGAGAGGAGAGACCCAAGTAACCTACCTCGCTCCCTGGCAGCAGGCAGGAGTTGGACAAGAGACTTCAGAAGTGCTGGTCGCTGGGGAGCCTCCCTCTGGGTCCTGCATCAGACGTTCCCAGGGTGCTGGGGCCCCCAAGGAGGCAGCTCTTCTCCCCCAGCATGCGTGAGTGACCCACATCCAAGCCACTTCTCCTGAGGAAACACGGGCATCCAGGGTGTGGAGAGCTTGAGTTGCATCCTCTTCCTCTGGGTGCCCAGCCATGGCCCACACCCGACATTCACAAGGCCCACCTTATTAAAGGCCACTTCTCTGTCCCCATGCTTTGACGTGTTTATTTACCTTCCAGCTCCTCCTAACCTCTGCTGGCTTCCAGCTCCTAAGGGTAGGGAGTGACCAGGCGGGCTCCAAGCCGCAGAGAGGCCAAGGTCTTGCTTAACTACCAGAACACACAGGGGCAGCCTGGAAGGAAAGGGAGTGTCAGCCGTGTGCAGCCTTGTTCCCAGACTTGCCCAGCACGACCAGAGTTGTCCCTCCTGGCCCAGCCCCGCCAAAATCCCCAAAACATTCTGCTTCCCCCTCCGCGGAGCTCCAGCGACAGCCGGGCAGGCACATGACAGAGGAACTCTAGAAGCAACTCCAGAGCCATAACTGGGATTCCTGCCCCCGCTCCTTCCCATTACCGCCTCAAGCTCTTTGGGTAGCTGCTGGGGTCAGCATTTGGAGGGTGAGGTGGAGACTAGGGTGGGTTTCTGCCCCTTGCTGCTGTCCCCACCACGCAGCTACAATCCACGAGTGACCCAGGAGTAGCGGGATTGGAGGAGGGGAGGAAGGCAGGGTTCCCCCGGGGAGCGACCCTACCACCAAAGGCCCTAATCTGCTGCCAGCGCGGCCAGGAGTTCGGCGTGGACCGAGGCACGTGGGGAGTGCGGGCTGCACGTGGTCCCGCAGTTCCAGCCCCGTGCGCGCCCCCCTCCCTCGGGGGAGGGGCTGTGGAGGAGCGGGGCGAGGGCGGGGCCCGGAGAATGGGGCGGGGCTCTCCGGAGCTGTCCGCGGGTCCGGTGCTGAAGTAGGCGCGGACGTGCGGTCCCCGACGCCTGTTGACCCTGAAGGCCAAGACCATGGCGTTCATGGTGAAGACCATGGTGGGCGGCCAGCTGAAGAATCTCACCGGGAGCCTGGGGGGCGGCGAGGACAAGGGAGATGGGGACAAGTCAGCAGCCGAGGCGCAGGGCATGAGTCGAGAGGAATATGAGGAATATCAGAAGCAACTGGTGGAAGAGAAGTGAGTGGCATTCCTTCCTGGCCCCGATGACCCCCCCCCAAACACACAGACATTTGCTGCTGCTGGGCCACCCCTAGGCCAGCCTGCAGCCCAAGTTCCTTCCTCTTCCCTCCCGAACTTCCTAAGAGGCTGGGGGTATCCTCCAGCTGCTCTCCGCCAGCCCCTCTGCACACCCAGGACCCTGTTCCAACTTCCTGTGTGTGGCCTTGAGGGAGTGGGGAAGGGAGACCGGTTACTGGGGTGGGGAGGAGGGTGCAGTTGCATTTCTGATGAAACAGGTAATCCCTTAAGCCGATCTGGCCTGAGCCTTCTGACTAGGGCTCCTGTGAGCCTCAGGCTCTAAGAAAAGAGATGCTCAGATGGGCTCAGAGTTGTGGAGGCAGGTCCTGGGATGCAGGCACCCCTGTATAGTGAATCCACTGTGCACCTGCAGTTCTGGCATGAGCAGAGCTGGGTAGAGTTAGAGACTGGACTCTGGGTTCATGTCCTGGCTTGGCTTATTATCTGGGTTACTTTAGGCAAGTTACTTAACCTTCCTGGGCCCCCTTTCCTCTTCTGGAAATAGGATGGTAATCATAATATGTACCTACGATATTTATGAAGATGAAATGACTTCATGCATGTAAACCATTTAGCACAGTGTCTAGCACATGGAAATCATCATTAAATGTTAGCTAAGTTTATTTCACTTAATCGTGGCAGTTTTGTGAGTTGCAAGTTCTCATCCCCATTTTACAGAAGAGGAAAGTAAGTGGCTTGTGAAGTGGTAATGGAGCCATGTTGGGAGCCCAAGTCTGTTATGAATACTCCTCCATGCGACGTGGTTGTCAGGGAGGGAACAGACAGCAAAACTCTACACAGAGGTGTGGAGATGGATGGGACACTGTGTTGGGGACAAGCAGCAGACCAATGCCACCTGCTGCCAGACCTAGAGACCCCTCCCTCGCAGCCCCTTCAGCTCTTGCAGTGACACCACCCCTGCCCCTGCAGGATGGAGCGGGACGCACAGTTCATGCAGAGAAAGGCAGAGCGGGCCACGCTGCGGAGTCACTTCCGAGACAAGTACCGTCTGCCCAAGGTACATGGGGGCTGCAAGGCAGCTGGGACCCTGAAGTCCTTCAGCCAAGAGAAGCTGCCACTCTCAGTCCATAGGCCCCATGGTGTGCTCTGTTAGATGCTCCCTTTTCTCATTCCTTTGTCCACTCATCTGTGCATGAACTCCTGTGGTCAGCCAGCTCCCTTCAGGCCAGGGCTTGGTGCTGAGAGAAAGCCCAGGTCTCTGGAGACTGGCAGACTTGTGTTTCTGGTGTCAATCCAAGTCCCTTTTCCCCTCCAACCTCACCTCCCAACACCCAGCCAGGCCTGGTCCATGGAGGTGCAGAGGAGCCAGAAAGCAGATTTTACCTGGGGCTTCTGAGCATGAAGAGGGTGAGGTAAGGGGAGGAGGCAGGAGCCCTGTGTGTGCCAGACATATGAACATCTTCATCTTCACATTCTTATCTAAACCCCAGTAATACTGCCAAGCAGCTGTCACCTACCTGTAAGTGAGGAAACAGAGGCTCAGACACAAGAAGGGACTTGGCTAAGGTCATGCAGCCAGGGAGAGATGAAGTTTGAGCCTTCACACTGGCACAAGGAGCCTGGCCACATGCATAAAGCAAAGGACCCCTTGCGGGCCAGGCAGCCCAGGAGCTGTCTCATGAGGCTCCCATCCCCCAGTCTCCCCTAGATAGTGCAACACCAGGTGGGCATGTGAATGTGTTCTTCTGTTGCCTAAGGAGGAAACTGAGGCACAAACCACTCCAAAAATATTACCTTTGTGTGCCCAGAATTGTGCTAGATTCTTCAGGGGCAAAGAAGTAAACTTGATCTTCACTTAAACTGAAAGAAGAAATATATGAACATTGCAGGCACTCAAGCAGAAAATGTTTACAGAGGCCCTGCTGCCTCTGACTCCCCCACAGGGCACTGGTCTTTTGAAAGTCTCTCAAAGAGGCAAACTGATCCAGTAAGCCTCCCTTACTCTAAACTCAGATAAGAATAAATGGAGTCATTCCTTAAGTGCTGGCACTGAGCATATAAGAGACACAACATAGCCAGGCATAGTGGTGCACTCTTGTAATCCCAACATTCTGGGAGACTGAGGCAGAAGGATCACAAGTTTGAACCCAGTCTGGGCAATTTAGCAACTTAGCGAGACTTTATTTTAGAATGAACATCATTAAAAAAGGGCTGAGGATGTATGGCAGTGCCAAGACCTTGGGTTCAAGCCCCAGTATAGAGAGACACATATACAACACAACTCTGCCATCAGAGAACTGAGGCAAAAACTTGGACTCAGCTGAGTAGCACAAAGGCAGAAAGTCCCAGTGCCTTCCAGAGGGATCCAGAAATGCACTGGCTATCAGCTGGTGCCATGTAGAACATGGACATCGGCATCATAGGTTTGAATCTAGCTCCTTCACTTCCTGGCTGTGTGGCCATGGGAAATTTACTTATTTAAATGATCTGAGCCTGTGTTTCCTTATTTGTAACATGGAGACAATGGTACCTACCTTCTAATGCTTTTCCATGTGAGGATGCAAAGCACCCAGCTTGACATCTGCCCTGCGCAAGTGTTGTTAACTGATACCCATAACTATTACTGGCTGTGCCCTTCAGCATGGTTAATGGTCATCACATAAGACCCAGCTGATGGTGACAGTGTGACTCCTAGGCAATTCTGCTTCCTCTTTGCTCACCATGCAGTGTCAAAGCATGACATCTCTGTGTTTTTGCATCCAACTTGGTCCCAGGTCATGGGAATGCAGAGGCCTGCACCCAGGCCAGGTTTCTTCTCTAACCCTCAGCCCACCCCTCTTCCCTTCAGAATGAGACAGATGAGAGCCAGATCCAAATGGCAGGCGGGGACGTGGAGCTGCCCCGGGAGCTGGCCAAGATGATCGAGGAGGACACGGAGGAGGAGGAGGAGAAGGCCTCAGTGCTTGGGCAGCTGGCCAGCCTCCCCAGCTTGGATATCAGCTCCCTCAAGGACAAGGCCCAGGCCACACTGGGAGACCTCAAGCAATCCGCTGAGAAGTGCTACATCATGTGACCATGTCCCCTGGGTTGGCCACTGGGACAGCCAGAGGGCTGGGTCCCCATGAGGACTCAATTTCAGGGACCTGTACCCCACTGGGGCTCTGTCCCTTGCCTCAGCTTGATCCATGCCCAAGCTGCCTCTGGTCTCTCCCTTTCCATGGGAGCAAGTTCCCATTCCTCACCCTGTCCTGTTGGACACTGCCCCCAATCAGCTTGGGAGACCTCCAAGTCTGTAGGAAAGAGCTGGTCCTCTCTGGGTGTGGCCCCCTAACACAGATGCACTTACAGGACACAAAACCTCTGGCGCACACAGACACACATACCCCCTGTACCCAGCCCTTTGAAGCACTAGCCCCAGGTACTATCAGGGAGGTCCCTGGGCAGCACCCTTAGCAGACAGGAGGCTGCATTCCAGTCTACCTTTATTCTCTTTCTGGCCTCATCTTATTGTCTGTAAAATGGGAACAGACTGGGTGACTTCTAAGAGTCTGGCGTGGCATCCCGGTCATGTGGAGCTGAGCCCACAGCCCTCCTTGGGCAGGGAAACAGCTGCAATTCAGCCTATAGCAGCTACCACTCAGGCTCTGGAGCTGAGCAATGCTGAGAGAGGCAGAGTGCCAAGGATGAGGCTGGCACTGAGCAGTAGCCCAGGCAGCTCCAGGCCTCACTGGGCCCAGGGCCCAGCTAAGTTCTGTTCTGTTCCTGTAGAACTCTATTTGGATTCCATAGCTGGAATCTCCTCTCCCAGCTCAGTCAAAAATAAAAATTCCAGATGACATGGCCATCTTCCCACTGCTTTCTGACCTTGAATCTGGGAGCTCGTGGTCCCCAGAGCTTGCCCTTGGAGGGGTGTCCTCTTCCTCCTCACCTATGACTTCATAGGAGGGAGAGGACATCAGTGCCAGAGGATATTGGTCTCAGCCTCTATAGGAAGTTTAGACTCTTCCTTGGCAGGGTCCTTGGTAAGGGAGCAGCAGGTCCAGCCTGAGGCTCGGTGAACTAGGGTGGGTTCAGGGGCTGGGGTGGACAGGGCAGCCAGCTGGATGGAGTTGTGTGTGGCAAAGTGGGGCATAGGTGTGTTATCTAAGGCCATAGCTGTCTCTAGCCCTTGTGCTTATATCCATCCCCAAGATGCATTGGATACACAGATGGAACCAGAGGACAGCAAAGCAAAAGTGCCCCAGCCCGGCATGCTGTGTGGCTTTCTGCAGGTCCTCTCCCTCTCTGAGCCCACCCAGAATAACAACGATACTTATTGCACAGGGTGATTGTGTGTTTATTTCCTTCTGATTGTGCTGGGGGTGGGACCTACAGTCTCCTGCATGCCAGGCAGGTGCTCTGCCACTGAGCCACACCTCTGACCCCAAAGGGTGACCATGTTTCAAACACATGTTTCAAACAAAGTAAGAGGAAAGGGGTGTGCAGAGACCACATGACATTATGTCTGGCTGTGGTTGGCTGACACCTGGCCTGAGGTAGCCTGGGGTGAAGCAGGAAGCTGAGCCTGTCACCAAGCCTGGTGCACTTGGAGAATTTTGTGCCTATGCATTGAAGCATGAGTTGAGATTTTTTTTTTTTTTTTTCCCAGTGCTGGGAATTGAACTCAGGACCTTGCATTTGCCAGGGAGGCACCGACACCACTGAGACACAATCCTGGCCCTTTTTTTTTTAATGCAAAAGTGAAGAGCTCAAGTGTCACCTACCCCCATAGGGTTAGGCCAGTGTGGGGATGGGGGGCTCAGGGCAGGGATCTCAGAGCAGTACGGCCAGGGGGTTTGCTGCAGGCTGCCCAGTACCTTCAGCCTGGGGATTGGGTGGGCAGAGGCTGAGCACAGGCCTCTGGGAGCTACCAGGATGGACAGGCGGGAGCAGGCTGAGTTCAAGGGCACAATGTCCATGAGACACTTTGTGGATGAGACCATGGAACATCAAAACTGCACAGCGGGTAGAAGAGCAGGAAAGACAACAAACAGGAGCTGGAGGCCCAGGGCCTTCTCCCTTGCCTTGCTATGCTGGGTTCCTGGGGAGGGCCCTGGGCCAGGGACAACTCTTGACCTTCCCGAGCTGGAGGAGGCCCAGTCTCAAAGCAGCAGGGCCTGCGTCAGAACCTCACCCTCTGGGGGCCTCTGCCTAATGGGCTCTGACAGCCCCTGCCCGCTCCGAGCTGGGCTGGGCCCAGAGCAGGGCCTGGGTGGCAGGCTGCAGTGTGTGGGGGAGGACACATATTCACTGAGCCCTGTCAGAGCAAGGTTGTTGGGTGCCCGGTGTCAGGGCAAGGGGGCAGGGCTGGGTCACCACATGGTTCTCTGCCCAGCCTGAACCCCAAGAGGCCCTGACCTGTCTGCGATGGCCCTGGGATGGGTTTGGAAAGGGTCTGGGGTAGAAGGAGCGGGTTCTGGGCTCAGGCAGAAGTGGGCAAGGAGGGAAGACCCCCACCCCTAGTGGCTTCACCCTGTTTGCCCTGGTCCCTCTTTCTCTGTCGGCCCTGCTGTGCTTTCTCTGTCACTCTGTGTCCCTCTCATTCCTGATTCGGTGTCATCTTATACCTGCCCTGCTCCAAGCCCTCTGGTTCTGGATCCGTCTGCCCCATTCTCCCCAACCTGTGTTGTTCTACTATTTTAGATGGTCCTGTGCTTCCTGACTGGCCTACCCAACTGGTGGGTGTGGAGGCCACAAAGCAAGCCATTTGGCACCCCCATTTCCCTTTCCATAGTACTCAGAACCCACCACAAGGGCCCCATAGTCCAGAGCCTGGTGGGTTGGGCCTTTCCCTCCCACACTCCTGTTCTTTCCCCCCTTTCCTTTTCCTTCTTTCCCTTGCAGGTGGTCTGAGGACATAGGAAACGTCACAGGTGGCGAACACACCTTTCTGCATCACCTCCCTTGTTCTCGCAGGGAGTGAGGGGAACCAAGACGACTGCCACCTCATATCCACCTCCCCTGTGCACCTTTGGGGCTCCATCCTGTGGCACCTGGGGCCCTACCTATGATGCCTCCAGTGCCACTCCCGCTCAGGCCAGCAGGCCAGCTCTCAGAGGCAGAAGAGTGACATTCCGAGGCCAGTTGGTCCCTGGGAGAGTTGGGGAGGGTGACCAAGGTTCGGGGTGCACAGATCTCCCTTTCCCCAGTAGCCAGATGGTCCCTCTGCAGACACCAGAGGCCCTAGGCAGGCGCTGGGGGACATCTGGGGTGTGTTCCCTTGCCTCGCTGAGCTTCTGACAGTGCCTGCTGACCCAGCTGATGCTTAGTGTGGAGGTGGGGGTAGAGGGATCAGGGTGGGGTGGGGGTTTTGTCTCTGTCCCCTGGGTCCCATGCCCTCCTCTAACCTAGGACCCTCTTGTCCTCATTGTTCCCAATCTGCCTGAGGCTTGGGAAGTGAGGTGACCAGGGTCCTGGCTGCCTCAGCCTCCCTGGGAGAGCACTGTGCCTGCAGGCCCACGGCCACGAATGTGGGGATCTGTGAGTGTGCACAGGGCTTCCCGCATTTCTGTGTCTGTGGGATTTCAAGCGTGGAGGTGTGGGTGTGAGTTAGTGTGGGTAAAATTGTCATTGCTGTCTCCTCCCCCTTAGGCTCCAGCCTCTCCTCCATGGAGGGCTCAGATAATGACCTGGCCTCTGGAGATAGGAGCCCTTCCAGATGACTGAAGCAGGAACCCGGATTTTTTTTTAAATTTGTTTTTTAGAACCAGGAATCAGACTCAGGACTTTGCACTTAGGAACCTGGATTCTTATCCTCCGCTCTGTTCCTGGTGAGCCAAAGGAGGGGCAGGCAGGCACACCATCAGGTCCCTCAGAGGCTCGCCTCTCTCCTCCTGGGCTGAGAGTCCAGGCCTGGGTGCTCCCAAGGTGTGGCTCAGTCCTGGCTCTGAACTCGGGTAACTGAGTGGAAGTGGAGGGTGGGGCAGAAGTGGGGACCCAGGAAATTGTTGTGGGACACCAGTCCTGCATTGAGACTTTCAAAGTATTGAAGATGAGAGGTAGAAATGACTTGTTTGGACACTGAACCCAGCCACTTACTTATTATGTTTTTTATGAGACAGTCTTATGAAGTCGAACAACCTCAAACTTGTGATCCTCCTGCCTCAGCCTCTCAGAGCACTGGGATTACTGGTATGGGCCATGATGTCCAGCTATACTGAGTCCTCTTGTCTGGCCCACTTGCAGAGATAATATACCTCTCTCCCCTAGACTAGAAAACGCACCCTCATGTACCTCTGGCCCATGTACACCAACTCATTATCAATTCCCATGGGGCATCTAAAGCTCATCTTCATTCTCCCCAGAAAGGAACAGGCTGATGAACTTTGCTCCACACTGCCCCCAGTGGCAGGAGATAGTGTCCTGGGTGCAGGCCTGCAGTCACCCCACTCACTGGCTCCCCAGGGTGGGGGGCATCTCCGTGATGTTTCGAAGCTTAGAGCAGCTCCTGCTTACTGCCTGGGATGTCCCCTCCCTTAATCCTCAGGAACGCTCCCAACAACAGCTGGTCACACCAAGAGCACAGAGCCTGCTGGAAATGACCCTGTCCTTTCCCTACTCCAGCCTGCTGCCTACCTCGGTCCCAGAGTAAAGGGGTGGGAGGTCTGGGGACCCTGGCTAGGGACAGATGGGCACTTAGAGGACAGCTCCTGCCATTCAGCCGAGATTTAAGGGAAAGGGCCATGCTGGGTTCCATGCCTGAGCTTCTGCCCCTTTGTCCTCTGGGTGGTGGGCAGAAACAGCAGCAGTCAGCCAGACTCTCCCAGGCTGAGGATGGGAGGCCATGTGCCTAATGCTTCCCACTGCAACTGCCCAGCTCTGCCTCAGGTTGCTTTCCCAGTGCCACTCACCCCTGTCTGTGATCAGAGCTACCTCTCTAGTCTGCCCTAGGGCAAGAAGAATCACACAAGTATCGAAAATAATTTAATAGAGAAACAACAAATTGCATTATTTACACCCAACCTTCAGCGGGAGGACACAGGACTACTGCCCTAAGGTGCCATTTGAGACCAGAAGGGTTTGGCTTCACCAACACCCTCTCTGCCTTTTAACTAGAACCCATCCAGTGTGCACATTCCTCTCCAAGGTAATTTCACTCTGCCTTCAAAAGAGCTGCGTGGGCTGTGGAGGTATCGGAGGCCCCAGCACAGAGAGAGACAGAGACCCAGGCCCAGGGTGGCAGCAGCATCGGGCCTAGGACCAAGTAGCCTGAACTGCGCTGGGTCCCTTGCAGTCTCATATGGGGTCAGGTAGTTCTCAGGCCTCCGAGCTCTGTGGCTAGCGTGGGGGGTCCCCCAGAGAGGGCTGGGGGTGGGAGGAATGAGGACTGAGGACTGTGGCCCTGAGCCCTGCAAAGGACCTGACATCAGGCCGGAAGGGCGATCTTACAGGACTGAGGCAGGGACGGGTGTGAGGCCCAGCAGAGTGCACACTGTAGAATGGGGGTCCCTGAGTGGCCCACTCTGGTGAAGGAGGGAGGTGCACTGTAAGTGTCCAAGAAGAGTGGGTCCAGAGAGTGGCCGCCTGCTGGTGGAGAGGTCAGAGCTGAAGGGTCCTGCAAAGGGTCCTGCCCTTCTTTCAGAGCAAAAGTGACAGGCACAGAGCTCAGCAGTCACTAAAGGGCAAGGGTATCCCAAGGGACACGCTTCCCAGAGACCTGCCAAGGGCCCAGCTGACAACACAGGCCGTGGGACCCCTGGGGGGTGGGGAGCACTCCAGAGTGGCTGGAGGTGTCCATTCAGGAAACTCCAGGGCGCACAGGGCCACTAAGTTCCCAGTGTCCCCTGGGTGAATGTGCCTTGCATTCCAGGTGGTCCAGGCTCTGTCCAGCTGTCCTGGGGTCACTGCAGGGTACAAGCTGAGGAGGAGTGAAAAGGGAGGGTCACATTTTTACTTTTTATGTTCTGCTTTTTGAGACAGGGTCTTGCTATATAGTCCAGGCTGGCCTTGAGCTATGTAGCCTAGGCTGGCTTCAAACTCATGGCTATCCTTCTGCTTTAGCCTCCCATGTGCTGGGATAGGTGAGCACCACCATGCCCGGTTTTGGATCATGTCTGTAGCAGGAGAGGCAGAAGCCAGGTCCACCCCCACCTTCCTCCTTCCAACGTGGAACAGCAGGCCCCAGGGAGAACTCACAGCTCCGCACAGACTCCGACAGCCCCTCTCTGTCCAGGCCCTCTGCGTCCCAGCGAGACTCCCTCATCTGTGGGACACAGAGGCCGCACAAGGGGTGAGGCAGCCAGAGGAGCCATGACATTCATAGAGGGGACAGGGGACAGACAGCCATAGGCAGAAAGGCAAGGGCCCACATACCCTCGCCCCGACATGATCCCCTTGTGCCCACCTTGAGCTGCTCCTTGAGGTACTCGGCCCGGGCCATGAGGTTCTGAATCTGCCAAGGGAGGATGAACCCATGGTGGGTGAGCACAGCTTCTGCCTGAGTTCTTGAATACTCAAAAGTGCCCAAGGACCCCTTCCCCACCAGGTCAGCTTCCCCGCTGACCCCCATCTGTCCTCTCCCCAGGAGGCCCCTGCCCCAGATGCCCAGACATGCCACCCCAAGGGCAGGGATCTCCCCAGGGAGGCTGATGGGGCCTCATGGGCAGGAGCAGGTAGAAGAGAAAACCCAGCCTCCCAGCCTGGCTGGCACCTCCGTGTGAAGCAGCTCCCGCCGCCGGCCCGGGGGTTCTGCTGTAAAGAAAGGGCAGGTGGTGAGGGTAGGGTGGCCTGGCACAGGCAAGGGGCACAGCCAGGGGCCTCACCTGCCAGCAGTAGCAACAGCTCCCCCAGGCAGTGCTGGTACAGGTCCAGAGCATCCTGATCCCCACCACCGCCAGCCTCCTCCTGCAGTGCAGGGACAGCAGTCACTTGGGCTCAGATTTGGACTCCTCCCTATCCCACCCAGAACTCTTTGCTGCACACACACCTTGGCCATGGCAGCCGTAGCCACTTCCAGGGCAGCAAGGAGGCGTGGCTTGTCTCGGGCCATCTCTGGGGTTAGGGGCAAGGTAAAGGTTGGATGAGGGAGTGGCCCGTTTCCACATCACAGGGAGGCCACCCAACCTGCCCACCTTGGGAGGAGGGAGGTTTGTGAGGGTCAGCCAGGACTGGAGCCCACCTCTGAGCAGGTCCCGGGCAGAGGTCCCCTGCTTCAGCAGAGCCTGATTGGAGGATGCCACGATGACCTTGAGCTCCTCGGCGCGGGACACGTACTGCCCCACCTGAAGGAGGGCAGGCGTGAGGGCTGCCCATCCTGCCTCCCTGCCACTGCCTACTTCCAAGCTCTGCTCTGGGTCCTCGGCCAGTACCCCAAGCTGTGACCAGGATAGGGGCCAGACGTGGCTGGCCTGACCCACATCCTATGCTACAGGAGGGACAGCTCCAGCCGAGAGAGAGCAGGGTACCCAGGCCTTTCCACTGTGTCATCCATTTCTGCTTGGGGGTGTGGGGGGGGGAGTCTCACCTACCTTCAGCTTAATTGCCTCCTTCCGCTGGGCATCCACTTCATCTGCAGAAGGTAGGGTTCATATGAGGAGTCTACCCTCATATGAGGGGTCCCTGCCCTACACTAAGATGTCCAGAGCCCCCTAGATATCAGGTTCCAGAAATGTCCTGTGCCTCTTGAACCAGGTGGGGTATTTTCTCTGCAACCTGTTGCTGTAGCTACATCAGGCCCTGCCCCACCCAGCTACACTCAGGGGCGAGGCTCAGCCCAGGACTCACAGTGCAGGGCAGGCACGAAGAAGTCCAATGCCTTGCAGTAGAGTAGTAAGGCAGCCTTGGCATCCCCCTCCTGGTCCTTCTGCACAGCCTGCACCACCAGGGCTGTCTGTAGGACAGGCACAAGAGGGGTTAAGATGGGGTACAGATTGAACCCCACTCCATCCCTTCCCACCTGACCCCATCAGCCTGCTAACCGCTTGTGCCAGGCTCTCCCCACTGGGCATGTGTTCCAGGTCCACCCATGGGTGGGCAAAGAAGTCCTGGAAAGAGATGCGACGGGCAGGGTCCCGCTCCAGGAGTTGATGCAGCAGGTCCCGGCAGTCTCGGGACAGTGGGGGCCGAGGAGGGAGCTGCAGTGGGGAAGGAGGTGGGGACGGACATCAACCCCAGGGGCACATTTGATAGGTGGAGCATCTGAGACCCAAGAGGAGCAAGGTGGGTTAGGATGATGGGGCACAGATGGCCAGGCCCGTCTACTGCTGCTAGCGCCCCTTCCTGGGGCTACACAGGTGGGAATGGGGTCTAAACCTTGGGTCCTGACTCCTCCACCCCTAGGGGTCACCGATATTCCTCTCTGGGCCAAAGCTCTCTCACCTCAATCACCCTATTGCTTCGGATCTTCTCTTCCAGCTCTAAGAAAGACCTGGAGGCAAAAGGGGGCTGGCCGAAGAGGGCTTCTGTGGAAAGAAGGCAGAGTGGAGGCTGCAAGGGTTGAGCCTGCCCAGCCTGCTCCAGGGGAGGGGACCTGACACCCCTCAGGGCAGGGCCATGGGCCAGGAGAGTCTGAGTTCTCCTTCAACCCCAGAGAGGCTTTGGCCCAGCATACAGTGGCGACCCTTGGGGTGGGGACCAAGGGACAGAGGTCTCACCATACAGGATGACCCCCACAGACCAGAGGTCCACACGGGCGTCATACTGCCGCTGACACACCATCTCAGGAGCCATGTAGAGGGGCGAGCCTCGGAGTACATGCTTCTCATCGCATGGAGACATGTGCTGGGCAAAGCCAAAGTCTGAAGGCAAGTGACAGGAGGAAGAGGCAGTTGGCAGGGCTCACATCCTAGCAGCTTGGGCTCCTCACAAAGCCTCAGCCCAGGCTCTCCAAGGGGGACCCCTCTCCACCTGCCAGTATTCAATCTAGGGCCCAGCCTGAGCACATTACCAGCCTGTAATGCCCTCCTCCTTTGCCCTCTGGGGTGGAAATGCCACCAGCCACCTACTCTGTCTCTGGGATGCCTTCTTCCACACCAACTGCAGGGGTAAGCACTTCAGCCCCTCACTGTCCCACAGCTTCGACTACATCATGTTCTCCAGCCTCCGGCTCAAGTCTTTTTTCCCAAAGCTCATCAGGACCACACTGACCCTCCCCCCATATCCTCCTAGGCTGCCCCAGACTGAGTCACAGCATCCTGGTGACAGACAGTCTGGTCCTTGGTCACAGACTGATCATTGATGCTGGCCATTCAATGGCACTGTTCCCAGATGACTGCAGGACAGGGCAGGGCAGAGCTCCACACAGCCCAAGCTTGGACATACACTGAATCCCAACTCTGACCCCAGACTGAGCTCCAGCTCCATGCATTACGCCACCACTGGACTTGGATGTGGTGGCCTGAGAAGGTCCTGTGGACTGGCAATGGGATCAGCCCTGTGAGAACTAGGGCTGCTGAGGGAGGAGGTCTCTCCTCACCCACCCTAAAATCTCGCCTCTGCTGTTCTGGATTCAGACCTGCCAGCTTCAGGTGGGGCTTCTCCAAGGAGCTCAGCAGAATGTTCTGTGGCTTCAGATCCAGGTGAGAGATGTTCCGCTCATGCAGGAACTGCAGGGCACTAGCTGGGCAGCGGGACCCATGAGGAAAGAGGTCAGAGGAGCCCCTCTCTGCTGACCCTCCCTCTCCAGGCTCCTACCAGCCCCTCTGACCATGTACAGTCCCACTTCCAACATGGCTGCTCCACTGAATGCTTTACCACCAAGTGTTTGCCACCCACCAAGTGCCAGCCTTCCTCTTCTTTGCACCCTTCACAGGTGTTCCCTCCTCCCACAAGCTTCCTGTGATGACCTCACCTATAAGGATCTTGTGCTTTTCCCTGCCAAAGCACTTGAGTTCTACCTACGGGGCCATGGAATGTTCTACAGGATCCTTATGTTATGTTCCACTCTAGAAGCCTGAACACCCTACAGTGGACCTTCTCTCATCTCTCCCACAGCATCTTGAAGCCAGGTATAAGGATGTGGGGCACAAAATGCGAGGGCTCAAATCCTGGGGACTGGGTGGGCTGGGGGAAGAGCAGCAAACATGGGAGAGGGAGTCAGTCTGGGGTGAGAAGCTTTTACCCAACTGCTGCATGAAGACACGAGCCACCCTCTCAGGCAGAATCCTTCGAGTGTGGATGAAGCGAGACAGGTCACCTCCTGCACAGTACTCCATGATGAGGTAGATATTGTCATTGTCCCACTGTGGTTAGGGGGAGAGGGGCAGCCTGAAGAAAAGTGTCCCTTCTCCAGCCCTCTGGAGGAGCCCCACCCCAGGCTGGCACCTGGAAGTCTTTCAGCTGCACAATGTGGGGGTGCCGGATGCCCTTGAGGATTTCGATCTCGGTCAGGAGGTTTTCCACCGACGCCTTATTCAGACTTTTCTTGGCCACACACTTTATGGCTACCACCTCGCGGGTGTCCTTCTGTGGGGACAGAAGATCTGGGGGGAGGGTCTTTCTGGAGGGGGCCAGGGCCAGGCTTGGCTGGAAGGGCTCCTGGCCTCCCGAAGCCGGCACTCAGGTATCTGATTCTGGAACCCTGGCCTTACTCCAGGCTGGGGGGGTCCCAGCCTGTAACACCTGCTCCGCATCCCAGGTCTCCTCCCACCGCCTCCTAACTGGTCCCCTGCAGAGCCCGCCCAGACTCTTCCCAGCCCAGCAGGTGATTTCAGTTTCCCAATAGCCGCCACTGGCGTCTGGGGTCCCAGATTCTCCAGGGCGCCCACGAACGCACCCACCTTGGCGTAGGCCTTGTACACCGTGGCGTACGTGCCGCTGCCCAGGCGCTCGGTGAGGACGAAGCCGTCCAGCCGCGGGGGGCCCCAGCAGGGACCCGCCATCCCAGCGCGGGGTAGATGCTTCCCGGTTCCGGTATGGGGCGGACGGCTCGGCTCGAGGGC